CACTGACTTTTTTACATTGCTGATTGGATTGGAAATAATTTTGTTTCCAAATTTTGATATTTGATATTGAATTTGGGTCCCACCACGAAAACTTGAAAATCACAAAAAGGGTTTATCAAGACGATTTCCGAGAAAAAATCGCGTTCTGTGCGTATTTTCTACGTGTATAAGCTGTTGTAATCAGCAGTAAAAAACTTTTTCACTAAAAAAACTGTTTCCCTCACGTTCCTTATCAAGATAGCACGTTATCCGCCTGACGATTTGGTCAGTGAACTATCAGGCATCCTCCCTCACATTTCTATACAATATTCGAACAAAAGCCTTTTTTTTTCTATTTTTGGGTCCTGTCGCAAAAACTTTACATTCAACAACAACCACCTCCGGAAATCCCCGCTTTCCTTGCTGGTTTCCCAATCCTGCGGGCTGTAGTCACAAGCAGCCTCCAATAAACACTAAACCAGATTAATTCCCGAAGATAATATTGTACTAGACAAAGGCCATTATAGAAACACCAAAGTGGCTGTAAACTGTAATTTTTTGTGCAGCAAACTTGTCCGAGCGGCTTGCATTCGCTGAATTGGTAAATAATTAACACCTGGAGGTTGGGGGTTTGTATGTTGCCAAGACGCGTGTTGAATTCAAAATTTGCGAAGAACCGTGGGCGTCCTCGCGTGAATCTTTAATCCACCCCCCGATGAACTCGTCTAATTTGATGATTAGTCGAATTCAAACTCATTTTCTTGGCATGAGCGGAGGGGCCGATTATAATAATTAGATTAGAGGATTATCCAGAGATTTGGCTAATTCTGTTGCAAGAACTGACTGAATTCACCGCTAGACGGCTCACAAATTTTAAGTCTTATATCATTTCCTGCCTTTGATCCGGGTATTTCATCCATTTCCAGCTATTTTTTACATTTTCACGTTTTCGTGTCGGGACCCGACAATTGTTTTAAAGGCCTTATAAGCCGACAATTTGATTATTACTTTTTAAATCTGGCTTTGAAAGACCCACAGGGCGCGTAATTCTTTTGGTTTAGCCGCTTTGGCGGAGTTTAATGTTTTCGTTGCGAGACCAAAAATCTAAAAACATCTCGTATTCAACATTCTAAAGATTTTTTGATGCCGTTAAGGACATGTTCATATTCAGAATCCCATATCATTTCCTTTTATTTGTCCTCATATCCGATTTCAAGTCCACACGTGTAATTTTTGGTATCACCGCGAAAACTTGAACTCTCGCTGGAATGCGAAATTTGCACTCGGCAGTGTAGAATGGGGTTTAATAACCCATTCTGATAAGGTTTTATGGGAAAATATTCGAATTAATTAACGGGTTTCTTTAATTTTTTGGCCGAAACTGGAAACATTTTCCCAAAAAGAGAATATTAAACTAGCAACGGAGTGGGGTCTGGGCCAGAGTTCTCCACCCCGTTTGTGGTCGCTGTTCTAATTTTAATTCCACATGGGAATTTGCTGGATTACTCCATTGTGCCCGCAAGCCACGCACTTTACGTGAAGAAAAAATTCGGAGCAAAAGTGCAAATTATTATTTTTTTGGCCGGGGAATATTGGGTTTAGTTGGCCAATTGGAGTCTAATGGGGGCCAGTTGAAGGGTGAATTTCGGATTTTGCAGTTTCCCCCGATATCCTGAATTTTCAAGTTTTCGTGGTGGGACCCGAAAATCGGTGAAATAGGTGTGTAATATTGATAAATACAGATAGATTGTTGCTGTCAGAGGCTATGGAGTAGTCCTGTAGTAATTTCTTTGGTTGGAATAAAGATTTAGTGTTTTTCAAATTTTCGTTGCGGGACCCAAAATTAACTTTCTTTTTGAACCTGGTCTTCGGCCCACATTTTTAGGTCGTCATAGGAATACCCTCACGTGTCAACATCATGTCTATGCTTTGGGGCGAATTTCTGTCTCGCTTTCGTTTTTTTTCTTAATTGGCCAGCTCTTTTGGCCAGGTGCACTTTTGCCAAAAAAAGCGCCCGCTCCGGCGTCAGCACGCCCCGGAAATACAAGTGCAGACATAAAATGAACCTCACGGACCTAAGGGCATACATAAATGATCAACGATTGTTGTACATGGCCCATATTGTACTTGATGTAAAGACGTATAAAATTAGTTCTAGTGGAGTTTGAGTGAAAGAATTGAGATTTTTGACACATTTGAGAGCCGGAAGAGCTTGTGTTTTGGTCTTGGACGGGAAATTTTTGTGTTGAATTTTTCAAGGTTTTCGTTGCGAGATGCATTTTTTCAAAATTGGCCCGATTTTTCCGAAACAATATAAATTTTTGATATTTAGCAGTTGTAAAATACGCGACTTGAAATCATTTTATCACTGTATCCAATGAAACGTAGCGATTTTTAAATCAATTTGACCTGATTTTGCATTTTTTCTCCATGGAGAATATATGATGTCTAATATCAGGTCTAATTTTTATCCAAAACATTTAATACACTTTCCAATTTGTAGCTCATAGTTGTATTCCTTCGAGGCACATCCGACTTCCATGGTTTGTAGCCAATCTTTGAGCCTTTGTTTTTGTCTTACCACGAAAACCTGAATTTGCCGAAAAAGGCGTTAAAAATGCCAAGAATTGTTTGGAAAAGTTGGGAAATGTGTGGGTGGATAATTTAGCAACATGTTGAATGTTTAATGCCTCAGGACATTTAGTATTCCTGGCTGTGAACTTGCAATTCACTGGGTCCTGAGCAGATTTCCATAAAAACTTTGTGGAATGAATAAAAAATGGGACACTTGGACGTATAAAATACAAGGCGAACACATAGACTACACTTTTAAATGTCTTTATGCTCTTTGAAAAACTTGTACTCTTGCCAAACACGATGTTTTAAAGGTCGGCCCGAAAAAAGCCCGTCTAGCTGAAGATTAGCCGCAAAATCCCCCCGAAAATGCAATATAAAAATGGTCTCTGTGCCCTTGGAAAGGCCCGCAGTCGTCTGCTGCCTTCACGGAAACGTGAAAGCTCCAGGAACGCGCGCCAGCCACATACATATTACATCGAAAATTGCACGGTGCAGTCCATTCCGAATTCCAATGCTGCGGCTGACGCACGCCTCCCGCGAAGGGATAAGACACCTGCTAATACCCATGAAAGCCGCTGCGACGTCATCTCCCTCTCTCGCTTTGTTCCCGTTCGCCGAACCATGTTCGGTCCGCAGGTGAAACCAAAAATTAGGGGGCGGCGCTTGGCTCGAGCTGATAACGCGAAAAAGCCCCGAGCCGGCCCGCGCCCGTTTCGGGCCTTCCGCCTTATATAAGACCGGCGGGTGGGATTTGTTAGCCGGTTTTGGCGCCAAACTTCAAATGCATTTATGTTACACTGGACAGGTAGATGAGGCCGCTTTTTTCGGCCGATTACACGTGTCCATGCGCCTATTGTTGCATGCAATTTTAGCGGCTGGGGTTTCTTGACGTAACAAGAGTGGAAATGACGTTGGTTTGGGGATGTTTAAAGTTGCCAAGTTTTCGTGGCGGGACTCACTTTTTAAAAAATTTGTAATTTCCTGGGGGTTAGGTACTTATTATCAGATGGGAATGTATTCAGTATTGTCCAAAATACACAATTTTTCGATTTTTTTCCAAATTTGACATTGTTTTCGTATCTTTATGACATTAATTTTTTGGCAGGAAATTGAAAATTTGAAAAATCGGAATACTAAATAGGAAAAATTAATGTCAAATATTTCAAAATTATTGTGTTTTACAAATTTTGAAACAATTTTCCGTATGGTTTCTGGCGTTTTGATTACTGAAACGCCGAGATTTTTATTTATAAAAGGATTCTCATTAATTCCACGCGACTAATGAGTAATTCCCGACCCGAAATTTGCACTACAAACCCAATCCAGGTGGCTTTGTACAGGGAGGAAAGGATGCCGAAATCGGCTTCGAATGATATAAACCGCTGGACGGGCGTCAAAAAGAATGCCTCGGCCCCGATTTCCGACGCCATAAATGGATGAAATCGGTGATAAGAGGCTTTGGTTTTGACTCGGACTCCACGTTTTCTTGTATCATGCGGAAATTCGGGGGTTATTGCACAATTATCTATTATCATAATTAAATCCCAACGCCCCACCCCACCACTGTAATATATTATTCACTAGGCATTTTGGACTTTTTTTTTGTTTATGCCCGCCCGCAATTTCACGCCGGTTTGTTTGGGTTTTTGACATGTCTATTTTTTTCTGACGACCTTTGAGCGAATGCGTTTTTTTTTGTGCGGATTTAATTGACCATCTTGCAGAAACAAGAGCACCACTACAGTCAAGGATCGCTGCTTTGGCAAATGACCGACGTCACCGCCCAGCTGTACCAAATGGAGCCCTTCAATTCGTTCAGCCTGGACCCCACCCTCCGCCAAATCCGCGACATCCTCAAGGTCAACGAACTCAGCCTCACGGCCAAGGAGAAGGAGCTTCTCCGCCAGCTGGAAGAGCGTCTCCCACTCTTCTGCGGCCCCAAGGACACGGATGATGCGGAGAATCCGGAGCAAAAAGCGATCAAGACCGAAAATCGCCCGAAGGAACCGGGATTCCCCGTCCTGTCTCATGTAAGTTGAATTTTCATATCGAATATGGGGTGTAAACAATGGAAAATGAGGTGTAGAAGATAAGTTACAGTCGAAAAATTAGGGTAAAATAAGAATTCCTCTAAACGGCTTTATCGAAATTGGACAGAGCGTGGAAATCGGACAGATTTTTTTCACTGCAATCGTACGAAGTGTCACTATTTCGTCATTTTTTACAGTGAAAAAATCTGTCCAATTTCCACGCTCCGTCCAATTTATTTCTGTCCAATTTCCATGAAACCCTCTAAACATGCGACCTTCCGCTGAATCCCACCGCGAAAACATTGATTGCCACGCAATGCCAAAAATGTTTCATAATTTTTCTCGGAATGCGCAAAGTTATGCAAATTCGGCACTTTGCTGCAATTCCAAATTACCTAAAGCCTGTCTGACATAATGAATGAACCCGAAGCAATGCAAGATGTTCCGGGACCATCCACTCGTCCGGATCCGCCGAGTAAAGATGGGATGTTCGTCCGCGATCTCTATCAACCGTTTGATATTTACATGGACATTGAAGATTATGAGGTCCTCAAGGATTTCTTTGTCTTGGATGTGCGCGAGGTAGCGGTTTTCTTCTTTATTTTTGCGATTTTCTTTCTTTTAGGTGGATGTCCCGGAAAAATTGAAGGTTCCGATGGAATTAGGTTGATCCTTGATGAAAAATTGTTTTGAATAGGTGGAACAGGTCCTAAAAGTTTTTTGAGAAGGTATTTGCGGGACGAACTAATTGATTTCCGATATTTTTGGACCAAATTACCTTATAGTAGGTATTGAACCAAAGAGATCGCGTTTTTTCATAGAAACTGTTAGAATTTTTGATTCTTGTGCTGTCAGTCAGATAAAGTGCATCATAACGATCGATTTTATATACAAATCGGCCCGGTCGTATCTAAATTTACTTTTGGTTTGTCAAATTCTTTCACGGTTTCATGAGTTTCCGTTTTTTGCACAATTTTTAAATTCAGATCTCTCTGAACTGGCTCTCTAAGTGCCAAGTTGTCCTCGCTGTGGCCACTCATCCTATGACTGATGTAACAGTCGGGGCTATTATGAATAATTACCTTAATTACACGTTTCGAAGTGCAATTGCCATGGATAAGGTGGTTTGTAGTAATGCACTTGTTGGAATCAATGTAATTAGACGGTTTGAAGGTCGCATGCCATTAATAGGATGAAAGGAGTTGTTGAGCGTATTACACTCGGCATTGTGCACGAGAAAAGGGGAAATTTGAGACATGCAGCCGGCTTATGGGATTGGAGCTACAAAATTTGTAAATTGAGTAAATAAGTGGGGCTTTTTTTGGGTAATTTGTGAAAAATATTGCATTTGAGAGCTATTTTTGGCATTCTCGATGCTATTTTTGAGGGAAATGTGAAAATTTTATATTACACTTGACATCAAAAAAATTTTTGTTTTTGACATCAAAAGTAATGTCAATGTGGAATATGATCTTCGAGTTGTTGAATAATCAGTTTCGTCTATTTTCAGGACGATGTTGATGATTTACTTGGCGAGAATGCGGACGTTCCGCAAGCCCAAACCTCTGCCATGAATGGGACCAGCTCCTCTCCAAACCCCTTCACGGCCACCGAGCCAGCCGACGAGAACACTCGACCATCCGAAGAAGACATTTTTGCCACCCCACCGGTCCTAAATTTGATGGCCGAACTGAAAGTTCCAATTACAATCACAGCGCGGGAGGTCTACAGTGTTTGCCAAAAAAGGAAGAACCGCATTCCGAATTCGCAGGTTTTCGATGAACGATGCGGACCACCAAAGGTCCCATCACCGCCAAAGGACCCAAAGATTAATTTGCATCCGCAGGTCAGCTTTTTTTTTTTGAGTGTTTCTTTGATTTTAGTTGATCTGGAATTTGATGAAGAATTTTGTCCCAGTTTGTGGATTTTATCCCAAATTTCTGGATGAGTAGGACACCTATTTGGTCATGATAGGATTGTCATTGATATTAGTGCAATTTCGCACCTCTGTTTCGCATTTTTTCCCTACTAATTTATATTACTTCAGGTCCCTCTGATCTACGTCGAAAATGATCGCGATGCCAAGTCAATTGAGCTCCAAAACTTTTGCTACAAAAGCACAATCGCTGTTGTTCGTGGACTCACGTCGGCATTAAAAGTGGACCTCTCTCAGTTCTCAACGAAGACCCTGATTCTCACCGATCGTAACCATGAAGTGGAGGTCCGGACCCAGCTAAAAATGCCCGGCGATGCCAACCTGGACAACTTGGGAAGACCCACATGGTCTTGTTATTCAGCCAAGAGCTTCTCATCCGTGGGGAGATACGGACAATATCAGGTGAGAAATTTTTTTCAATTTTTGATCGAGTTTAGGCGAATTTTGATGAAACAAGGTTAATATTGCTGTGTTTTTGGATCTTTTTTTGTGGATTTGAGGTTTAAATGACTGATTTAAGATTCAGAATGTTTTTTGAGCAAGTTGGGAGATTTTTTTTCAATAACTTTTGCCTAGTACAATATAAATTTTTTTGATTTTTTGGTTTTTTTTTGCTGTTAATGGCTTTGTTATTGTTTGTATTAATCTTTTTTCACCTTTAGGCCGAATCGTTCCGCCATTCCTTAAAGGAAGAGACTGAAAAACTCCGTAATGTCAAACAAACTCCCCCAACTCAGCGCGCTGTCAACGGAGAACCGGCCCCAAAACGACGAAAGGCCGCTGTGGCTGCGATCCAAGCCGAAGCAGAAGCCCAGACCAACCTGATCCCCACGAAAACCATCAAGTTTGGAACGAACGTCGACCTCTCTGATGAAATCAAATTCAGTCGACAGCTTACGGTAAGGTCTTTAAAGTTTTTTTTTTGGTTTTTAGGGAGGTCTGGACGAAAAATTTCGTAGAAAATCGCAAAGTTTTGATTTTATTTTGGTCATTCTTTGCAGGAATTGGCGAAAATGCCCGCCTTCTGCCGCCTCCACTCGGCCTCGAATCTGCTCTCCTATCTGGACTTTAAGGTCCTCGGAATGAACACGGTACAGCTGTACATGAAGGTGCCCGGCTGCAGGACACCCGGCCATTTGGAGAACAATTCTTTCGCCAGTGTCAATATTAATATTGGTCCCGGGGAGTGCGAATGGTTCGGTGTTGCTTGGGAATACTACCCCATGATCGACAAAATGTGCAGAGAGTAGGTTGAACATTGATTTGGGGGATTTTGGAAATGATTTTTGGATTTTTTGTGAATTTTTTTTGGGATTTTACATTTTTTAAAGTTTTTTTTTGAATTTTTTAAAAATTTTTTGGAATTTTAAAAATTTTTTTGGGATTTTTAAAAATTTTTTGGGATTTTTGCAATTTTTTGGGATTTTTTAAAAAAATTTTTGGGATTTTTTAAAATTTTTTTGGGATTTTTCAAAATTTTTTTTTGATTTTTTAATTTTTTGAATTTTTTAAAAATTTTGGATGTTCTTCTTGAGTTTTTTTTCATTCGATTTGTAATAATTTTTTCTTGCAGACGAGGCCTCGACTTCCTGCGCGGCGCCTGGTGGCCCAGCTACGACGAGCTGATCGAGGCCGGCATCCCGGTCTACCGGTTCACGCAAAAGGCCGGCGACCTGGTTTGGGTGGGCGGCGGCTGCGTCCACTGGGTCCAAGCCACCGGCTGGTGCAACAACATTGCCTGGAACGTCGGTCCCAGCACCGCATTTCAAATGGAAATGGCCATCCGCGCCTACGAATGGAACCGCTTGAACTCGTACCGCTCCTTGGTCCCAATGCAACATTTGTGCTGGCAGATCGCCCGAGCCCTCCGATTCACGGACCAGAAACTCTACAACTTGGTGAAAGGAGTGTTGATTCGAAGCTTCGCCTACTCGAAAATGGTCATGGACTTTGCGGAGGAACATGGGAACATGACCGTCAAGTTCCAGTCCAGAATCAAAAATGAAGGCGCTCACTACTGCAATTTGTGCGAGGTAGGTTGATTTGGGCGTTGTGGGAGAGTTTGAGGAGTTTTTGTGAGAGTTGGGGTCGATTTGGAGGCTTTTTTGAGGAACTCAGATTTTCGTGGTGGGACCCGGGAGAGGGTTAGGTGGAGTTGGAAAAAGAAGGCTTGAAGTCTTGTAGCGGGTTAGTGGATTGATATATGTAACCTTCTAGTGTGTTTTAATAAATTTTGAAGGTTTTGAGAGGATTTACAGTAATTGAAGTTTTCGTGGTGGGACCCGGGAGAGGGTTTAGTGGAGTTGGAAAAAGAAGGCTTGAAGTCTTGTAGCGGGTTAGTGGATTGATTTACTTAATATTCTAGTGTTTTACATTGATTTTGGAAGCATTTACATTAGTTGAAGTTTTCCTGGTGGGACCCGGACATGAGTAAGATGAAGATTTTTATGGTGAAATAAAATGATGATAGGGGCAAAAATTGATTTGAAGATGAGTGTAATTTGATTTTTTATTACAGCTGGAAGTTTTCAACATCCTGTTCGTCAAGGAATTCAACAGCAAATTCCGAGTTTTCTGCGTCTCTTGCGCCAAGAGAGGAAATATCAAGGAATACATTTTGCTCCAACAATACACCTTTGATGAGCTGTCCAGCGTGTTTGATCAATTCCAATATGTGTCGGTAAGCGGGATTTTTTGGTGAAAAAATGAAATTTTTTGATTTTTTGCTCGTTTTTATATTATCCTTGATGATTTTGAGGGTTTTAAATTTATTTTGGCTATTTTCAGGGCAAAGCCGGCCTGATCTGCTAACTCACCGCGCCATGACGTCCCCCGGGACGCCTAATATATGTAAATAATGATCTTCATTTTCCCCCCAACCTCAATCTCTTCCAATTTTTCCAAGTTTTGGTACAAACCCACATTGTTGAACTACTTCTTTCCCCCCGCCAAAAACTCAAGGATTCACTCCTCCAAACGCGCCGAAAAATAATTCTTTCAAAGAATTGTAATCACTATTCTTTGACCCTCGTTTTTATGGCTAAACTCTTTTTTTTTTGTTTTTATTTTTATATTGTTCTGATCGTTATTCTTCTCACGCTAATCTATTTTTTTTTTTTGAAATAAACAATATTTTTAATGCTGGAAAAGATGCGATTTTTATGTTTGATGTCGTTTTAAACGGGTGCTTATTTAGTTTTTGTGCTGTTTTCTTTGTTTTGAAGCTTTTTTAGGGCAAAAAACTAGTTTTTTTTGATAATTTTTTTGCCTAGTGTAATATACGAAAGTTGAATTTTTGTGTTTATTTTTGTTGGAATTGCTTGTTAGTGGGTCAGTTTGGTTTAAAACGAGCTTAAATTGTGTTTTGCAATGATTTTTTGGTCGAAAAATTGCATTTTCGTCCGTTTCTACATGTCAGGTTTGAGGTTCTAATTTTTGTCGTTTATTGTTCTGAAAGTTTTTGTTTATGGATGGATTTTGTTTGGTAGGACTTATATTGCTTTTTACTGCAATGAGTTTTATTAATTGAAAAATTACTTTTTAGACCTATGTCTAGTACAATATCCGAAAGGTTTATATTTGCATTTTATTCCTTCGAAATCCCCCATAAACAACGGTATATTGAAATTAGACTGCTTTTTGCTACACGACATCCTCTTGTAATACTATTGATCACGGCTTTTTGAATGCGCTGCCGATCGCTCGGACGTATATTGGCTAGTCGACTTGTCGTCCACTTTTCGTTGTCTCAAAACGAATCTTCGGAAACTAGGGACAATACAAATTACAGAGAGTGAGTTCACAATCGGAATAAACGCGATAATCGGCGTGATAAAGTAGGAAATGCCTTGAAGTGTAACGTTGAACAAGGTGAAGAGAACGGCCACAAAAATGGGAGTGTTTATGATGATCAGCGGGTTTAGTCCCTGAAATAATCGATAATTTAGACCGTAATTAGAGGTTTGATGTAATGGAATTTGTGATTTTTTGATTTTCCAAAAAATGTGTCATGATGACGGATTTTTTGGAATTTTGAAAAATCGGTCAAAATGTCAGAAATAGCCTTTTGATGACAATTGTTGGCTTTAAAAATGTTTTTTGAGCTGTAGAATTTTTGTAGAACCGAATTTTGGGTATGATTTTACCTGAATAATCATGATTACGGTCAACTGCCGCTGTGCGGCCAGCGTTGTCCGTGACATGGATTCCTTGGCGACACGTAGCTTCTTGATGGTCTTCAGTGCGCAGTAAATGACAATTGAATAAGCAACGGCGACAATGAAAATACAATCGAGCATATGAAGCGCGGCTTTTGGGGAGTCCTAAAACAGCAAACTTTGTTGATTTTGGGACTTAAATTTGGGTAAGATGGAAGGTTTATAGCTTGAAATTGTAATTAAAATTGTAGTTAAAGAGCTTGTACAGTGAAGGACTCGATCCAGTGGCAAAAAACGTACCATTTTGCATCCGAGAAGCATAAAAAATGTGGCAAAATGCTTCCATCTCCATCTAAAAAAAATCTCCGGTTTGAAGGACGCGCCATTTCCCTCATAAAAAGAGCGGGCGCGCTTTTGAAATCGGAGTTTTTTTCACTTGGAGAGGGAAGCATTTTGCCACATTTTTAATACAGGGTGTTTCAAGAAATTCCGCGGAAAGTCGTCGTCGATTTCTCGGCGCTCAGCCACGATATCCAAAAAATTTTTTTTGCAGTAGAAAGAATGTAGTGGGCGGTTTTTTGCCTAAAAAGATTTTTTTTCTACGCCGACGCGGAATGCAGTGTATTCGGCGGAGACATTTGATAGCTTTTTTGCCAATCCCACTTATCTCAAACGCTTTATTACGAATTTTGACGGTTCAAAAGAGGATTAATCTTGATGGTTGAAGGAGGATTTGCATATTTCTATGTTTTTCAAGCATTCGGCGAAGGTATGGCGGACGCCTTCCATATCGGCGGAGGACATAACTCATCTTCGGACAAAGACACAAAGCTGGGAAATGGCTCGAAATGGTTCCTGTGCTCTGGTTAACACCATCCTTCATCATTTCTTATGAAAATCAAATTTTTTCTCAGTTTGGCGGAGGAATCGGCGGAGGCCATAACACATCTTTGGACAAAGATACAGAGCTGGGGAATTGTTCAAAATGACTCATGTGCTCTGATTAACCCCACCCTTCGTCATTTCTTATGAAAATCACACTTCTTTTCGATCTGGCGGAGGAATCGGCGGAGGTCATAACCCACCTTCGGACAAAGATACAGAGCTGGGGAATGGCTCAAAATGACTCATGTGCTCTGACTAACCCCAGTGTGGAGCGCATGAATCATTTTGAGCAATTCCCTAGCTCTGTATCTTTAACCAAAGATGTGTTATGGCCTCCGCCGATATGGAAAGCGTCCGCCATACCTTCGCCGAATACTTGAAAAACATAGAAATATGCAAATCCTCCTTCAATCTTCAAGATTCATCCTCTTTTGAACCGTCAAAATTCGTAATAAAGCGTTTGAGATAAGTGGGATTGGCAAAAAAGCTATCAAATGTCTCCGCCGAATACACTGCATTCCGCGTCGGCGTAGAAAAAAAATCTTTTTAGGCAAAAAACCGCCCACTACATTCTTTCTACTGCAAAAAAAATTTTTTGGATATCGTGGCTGAGCGCCGAGAAATCGACGACGACTTTCCGCGGAATTTCTTGAAACACCCTGTACTTCCCGGATGCAAAATGGTACGTTTTTTGCCACTGGATCAGGTCCCCCACTGTAGCTACTGGCTGAGCAAAGAATTATGTGTGCTTACTTTGACTCCCAGCGTGAAAACTGGGACATTGTCGTGGAAGAGCGGGTTCCTCCGCAAAAGATGCTCGTATTCGCGCAAAACGGCCGGATTGGTCTCGAAAACCAAAACCCCAGCCGCGCAATGCAGCGCAATCGCCAAAATAAATCCGCCGAAGATTAGGACATAATGCCAGAACTGCAGCGGATTGCGTAGACACAATTGGCTGTACCGATACAGGAACTGAATAGGCACTGTGACGACGGTCAGAAGCAGGGAAAATAGCCAGGAAAAGGTGATCATGCTTGAATAGGGCTGTGGGATTTGACCTATAGGACCAGTATTCAGCATGAAAAGATTTCCATCTTGCATGTCCACGAACTGTAAGAAAATTGTATTAATAATACGGTTATTTTTACAAGATTATTTTTACAAGATTATTTTTTTCTGCTTGAAAGTACAGTGAATGTAGTTTAAATGTGTTATAAATCTATTTAAGGGTTGTGGCGTAGTTTGGGCACAACCTAAACAGTTTAGTGGTGGTACCATAGAACAGCACAAAACAAGGCTTGCTTACAGCTGATGTACTGCAAGTACGACGCTCGGATTTTGATGAAACTTGGCACGAATTTAGAATAATTTTTTCTACAGCGACGGACCCGATCCAGTGGCAAAAAACGTACCATTTTACATCCGGGAGGTATCAAAAATGTGGCAAAATGCTTCCCTCTCAAAGTTAAAAAAATTCGTTTTGAATGGCGAGCCCTTCCTCTCACAAAAAGAGCGGGCGCGCTTTTGAAATCGGAGTTTTTTCACTTGGAGAGGGAAGCATTTTGCCACATTTTTGATACTTCCCCGATGCAAAATGGTACGTTTTTCGCCACTGGATCAGGTCGCCCACTGTAAGGTCTATGCAAGACATCTAGCTGGCGTCTTGCAGAAACGACTGAGGTCTTTAGGTCGAAAATTGAATTAACAAGGGAAGTCACTTTTTTCGCAGATCGATCCATACTGGTGACCTAGTGGACAGTGAAGGCCTCAGGCTGTGTAAAAAGAATCTGGCGTCCAAAAGTGTTTACGGGCCCTGAGGGCAGAGTTATGGCTCATCAAAGTTCACGCAAAAAGGTTCCGAAAAGACCCTCCAAAAAAACGGGATCGGAGAAGTGAGCTTCGGTAGCAGAGTGGTTCGCAGATTTTTCTTTTGTCTGGAAGGGCCAGGTTTCGATTCCTCTTCGCGGCAATAACCAAAAATAACATTGTAAGAGTAGCGTAAATTACAAAAAAATGTTTTGAAATATTTTTTGAAAAATGTTATTATCCTGTCGTTAAAATTTGGGGAAGTCGCTGTGAGCTTGGACACAGTGAGGGATAAGAGGGCATTTTTCCACCGAGGATCGCATTCAATTTCTGGAATAATGCGGCGATTACGGTGGATCAAGACGCCGTATCATTGGAGAAAACTGCGGGAACTTTGGCGTGAAGGTAGGACTGGGATTCTCAATATGTATATCTCTGATGTTTTAGAAGACGCTCTTGGTGATCGTGATATCATGCTGAAGCGTTTGAGTCAAACGCTTGCTGTCTGGGCAGATGATAAGTTTAGTGACGATATGAACAAAATCGTCATTTTTTTAACGACAGGATGATAATATTTTTCAAAAAATATTTTAAAATATTTTTTTGTAACTTACGCTGCTCTTACAATATTATTTTTATTTATTGCCGGGAAGAGGAATCGAACCCTGGCCCTTCCAGACAAAAGAAAAATCTGCGAACCACCCTGCTACCGAAGCTCACTTCTCCAGCCCCGTTTTTTGGAGGGTCTTTTCGGAACCTTTTTTGCGCGAACTTTGATGAGTCATAACTCTGCCTTCAGGGCCCGTAAACACTTTTGGACGCCAGATTCTTCTTACACAGCCTGAGGCCTTCACTGTCCACTAGGTCACCAGTATGGATCGATCTGCGAAAAAAGTGACTTCCCTTGTAAGATGTAACACTTTTTTGCGAATTTTGGTATGAAAAGTTTCTTGCGTATTTCTACCGTACAGTGTAATGTTTCCGCAAAAAATCAAAAGTTTCCGCACGAAACTGGCGAAGATATAGCCTTAAAGTGTGTTTCTCTGTGACCACTCTCCGCGTTCCGCCTACTCTCTCGGCCGCAAACATCGTTGAATATTTTGGCTGCCCCTGCAAAATGCGAGCTAAAATTTGCAGGAATTGATCTGCGGACTCTGCCCAAAATGTGTGCAAAATTTAAAGAAAATCTTAAAATTGAGCTTGGTGTACTTCCCGTGCCAGTTTGTGCCCTAAAAATAGTTAAAACAATGTTCGAAAGCTGCAAAATTTGGTCGCGGGGCAAATCCTCAATTAGATCCCAACGTATGAGATAAATTTCGTTAAGCACTTTGCACCGAGACCTCACCTGTCTGGTAATCAGATTGGTCGTATTGAAAATTATATCCACCACGGAGTTTAATAAAATAATGGCCGTGTATTCGGCCATGCTCTTATTGGCTTGGGTTCTTGCCAAATAAATGACTAAAATGTTCAAGCAATAGGACAAAATCCCAAGAAACAGGTCGTAGAATGGTAGACAAACGGCTGCGATATCCGTCCAAGCCATTCTGAGGGTTATAAAGAGGGTTATAAGAACGAAAAGTAGGTGAAAATTGGGATTTTTTGAAGAAATATAATATTAAAATTCCTTGATGGGAAGAAAAAAAGTGAGATAAATATAAACAGGCGCAAGTTGGCAGCAATGCGTCGAATAGGACTGTTCTTTATAGAGTAGTATTAGAAAATGAACGTAATAGTATTTCAGTGAGCGAATGAGCGTACTATGATCCAGCACTAATATTAATAACCCATAAAAACCCAGCCCCTTTAAGGCTCTACAGGTACGATGGGCGGTTCGCAATTACCGTAGCATTATATACCTCGTGAATTCAGATATTTTTATGACGAAGTACGCGTAACCTGCGACGGAAAGGTGGCGCACCAAAACGGCCAAGATTATGACTTTGTTTTTCAAAACAACACCAAGAATTATATAAGAAATACCCGTTTAGCGGATGTTTGGCACCATAAGTAAATGAAAAGTGGGAATGACACTTGATGGCTTGAACTATCATTGACCACAGCGCAGATTATTGGGCAAACCAAAGGGTTTTTCCGCAAAATCTAGATGAAAATTGTTGAGAACAAAAAAAATGTTACAGATGGAAAGTTGTGCTTCAAATGCTCACCTTTGTAGTGGAGGTAAAATTGAGCTTGTGTCGGACTGTTGGGAAAAAATGAAAATTTTCACTGTCTCAGCGATGTTTCTTCCGTGCCATCGAAAGAAGCATCGCGGTGACAGCGAAAATTCTCATTTTTTCCCAGCAGGCTGATACAAGCTCAATATTGTCTGTACTACAAAGATGCGCATTTGAAGCTCAGTTTTCCAACTGTAACATCTTTTTGTTCTCAAAAATTTTCATCTAGGTTTTGTGGAAAAAACCTTTGGTTTGCCCGATAATCTGACCCACAATCTCAACATACAGTAGCTGCCAAAAAACTGTCAATTTTTTTGTTTTTTGTGTAACTCTGCTCAACGTGGACGGATTTCAACGAAACAAATACCATTCTGTAGAGAATTACTGCTGTTATCTAATGGTGTAGCGGTTGGAGCGATTTTACATCTTAGTGTGTAACAACTGTCGATGTAAAATTTTTGGAAAGACAAAAAACTGTCAATTTTTCCAAAAAAATTTTACCGCTTGCATACGTCGCGGCAAATCATGGGCTTATACATTCCGATTTTTAAATAAAGTCCCACTGTACATAATTAACCATCAAAGGGAGCCAAGAAAGTTAATTTAGTAGACCTTTTGGTGGTCCCAAGTTCGATACCCCAAAACATGACGTTTACGAAAAAATCGATTTTTTTCTTTGACTTAGCATTAATGCAATGCCTTGCAGTAGAAGTTAGACAACCTACAATTAAAATATAACAATGATTGGGAGCCTAAATGCAAGTCTACGGACTCCACATGACATTCAAGTTTTTCTGGCAGTAGATGTACCGTGGAACTTCAGCCCGGATGCTTCCGCAGACACCTCTAATCGTAGTTCCAAAGCGACAGAAGGCACCCATGTTAACAGTGAACAGTTTAGAACCGCTACCGCGCCAGGCCCGTACTTTGCGCGTAAAATAACAAGCTCCTAAATGGAATTTTTGGAGAAAAATTGTTGTCTCGATTTTCACTCTCCATAGGATGGAAATAACCCAGCGTAAGGACAAGCAAGATGTTGTCCCATACATTTACAGCCATTCCTGACATTTCTAACGTAATTTCACTCCCTCTAACGTGTTTCTAAAGTCTTAAGCTGACTTGCAAGTTTCCACAAAAATTTTTTTTTGTTAATGACAACATAACCCTCCGTAATTCTTGTGCGACTTGCATTGCCGTCCTACAAATGCCCATAAAATGCTTCTAGAACATCTGTGATCATGTATTGATAAAGCATTAGCAAGTTGTTACAAAGGCGGGGGCAACAAGGCCAAGTCTCTACAGAAACTCGATTACCGGAGAAACTTGAATGTCAAGTGGAGTCTGTAGACTTACATTTAGGCTCCCAATCATTGTTATATTTTAATTGTAGGTTGTCTAACTTCTACTGCAAGGCATTGCATTAATGCTAAGTCAAAGAAAAAAATCGATTTTTTCGTAAACGTCATGTTTTGGGGTATCGAACTTGGGACCACCAAAAGGTCTACTAAATTAACTTTCTTGGCTCCCTTTGATGGTTAATTATGTACAGTGGGACTTTATTTAAAAATCGGAATGTATAAGCCCATGATTTGCCGCGACGTATGCAAGCGGTAAAATTTTTTTGGAAAAATTGACAGTTTTTTGTCTTTCCAAAAATTTTACATCGACAGTTGTTACACACTAAGATGTAAAATCGCTCCAACCGCTAAACCATTAGATAACAGCAGTAATTCTCTACAGAATGGTATTTGTTTCGTTGAAATCCGTCCACGTTGAGCAGAGTTACACAAAAAACAAAAAAATTGACAGTTTTTTGGCAGCTACTGTATGGGCGTTTGACGCTGGGCTTCACAAGCTTCCTAATGTTATACACATGAATTTTCTTGAAGAATCCAAAAAATCTTACCTCAAATTTTCAAAATAAATCAAAATTACTCTTCCAATCGTCCAAGAACTTTATTAAAAACTCAAATTCGAGACGTGTTGTGGGCTGAAACTTGCGTTAAAAAGAAAAAGTCAAATCGGAAGAGACCCATATGGTATAATATAATATTTACATCGAGATTGAGATTTTTATTGACAGTGGCGTATGTTTTGTTAGACCGTTATGACCTGTGGGTTGGATACGACGGAGGATGAAGGTAGTACACAGCCGGAATACGGTTAAAATTTAGTGGATAAACGTTAAAAAAAATTCGAGAAATGGGTAAAACAAGTTCTTCGAAAGACTACTTTCAAGCGTGGGGAGACAAATTTTACGAATACGAAAATACGACTCATTTGAATTGTCGAAAGAATATCCCACTTTTGACGTTATACCATTCATATTTCCTAAAAGTTAACTTAATTAAAACAGTAGGCTCAAAAGACTAGTCCACATGAACGAGAGAAGAGGGCGGATCCAGAAATGAGTGTGGACGTAAAAGTTGAGCAACCAGAACAGTTGGGATTGTACGATTCTTGAGATCGGGAAGTTGATTGGGCGGGGTTTGGAGCCAAACGATCCGGTTTTGTAGAACTGGTCGAGGAGTTTGTCCTGAAAGTAAATTTAAACTATTTTTGACCTTTTTTTTTGAAAATGTATCGGTAAAAAGGAGTTTAAATGTTAGATAAGGCAAAAGGTAATATGAGTTACTACAACATGATTAAAGGAACACCATAGAACCAAAAGAGAAACATTTTGTAGCTGCTACGGAATGCTATTTGGTAATCACTAGAATTGTGCCTTATTTTTGCCTTAGGCGGAATACCAGTCGAGCCGGTGACACATAAAGACCGAAAGTGCCCTAGGCCGTTTCTCAAGAGTCGTATTCATAATTGTACAAGAGCAGAATGCGCCGTTTTTATCTATCTTGTCATTTTGTTATCGATAACCCATCTTTCTCAAAGCCGCGTGCCATAGGGTGGTTCTGGGCGAGAAACTTGTCAAGGAAAATCTGTTGCAACCAGCAAGCAATCACAGCTTTTTCCAGAATTATTGTATTTATGAATAGAATACATTCTAGCGGTTTTAGCTTTATTCTAAAAAAACTGAATTTTTTATTGAAAAAATTTGGAAAAAATGGCGATCTTCAATGTTGAGATTGGTACCACCGTAGAAATAAAAACCGTAGCCCAGAAACCTACATAACTGCTTGCTTAGAGACGTAGTAGTCTAGCAAAACAAATGAACTTGCCATTTCTGCGGCTTTAGTACAGCCATGCTCTACACAACACAAAGGAACCAAAATTGAGGGCAAAAAAATGGCGCAAGGCATTTTTGTTAAGCTGTAACTTTTTCCTGCGACATGATGACTCCGCCAAATTTTCGTGGATTATAGAGAAAGTCTTATAGAATATTACCCACTGTCGCTTGTGTTTCTTTAACGCCTGGGTTTCGCGGTGGGCCCTTCCAAAATTTGTCTCCGTTATTTTGGGTCACCCTGTATATCCCTTACCTTCTCCGCGTATCTTTGATAAAGCCATTCTTTGAGTTTCGCCTCATCCGCCCATTCCGGTTTCACTTTATGGATCGAGTAATGTACAGCCACATGACTGTTGTCGTTGGGCCATTCGCCGAGCATGGCTTTGCTAATGTCCACCACTTCTCCCTTGGGGTACCCGAGAGTGCAATCAATCACATATTCCATCGGAGGGAGATCACCCGCGTTCGCCTTGGTCGGGTCTAAAATCATGCAAAAATTATGAAAAAATGCAAAATAAATATAAAATCTGCCTAGATACTTATTGAAAACAGCTTCTATTATCATTTTAAAAAAGAATACACCCTAAAAATCGTCAAAACGAACAAAATTGCATTAAAAGTACCAACGTTACCTAAAGTAATATAATTTTTGCACAAACTCTTGTAAATTACCCTCTCAAACATCCCTACATAACATTAGCATGCCTCATAAACTCTCCCAGCTCCACCAGTTACTTAACCTCATCCACAAAAAAAATCCAACTTACCCTGAGGGTTTTTTCCACAAACCGTGAGGGTTGTGTGTGCGGCTCCAGTTCGTGGATGCGAGCAATGTTTGAAAGGTTCGATTCCCATTTTCTCCGCGAATTTCCTTTCCTGCTCTTTGACGAGGTACAGTCTTGAGCCCTCTGGGTACATGACCACCCACCCATAATCGTATTCCCAATAGTTGTTCCTGAGGTGTTGGCCGAATTCCCTGAGGACTTCGTCTCTTTTCGTTCGCCCTCCATTGATGAAGAAGTTCCCGTGGGTTGTCCACATGGCTCCCAGTGGGGTCCATTTCCAAATATTGAATATCACCCACATGTACTACAACATAAAAAAAAATTATTCAAAATTTCGACCTTTCCGATGTTGAAAACAAAAATTAGTTCAAAGTACATTATTTCGCATCCAAAAATAATTAAATTCTCCAAAAAAGTCTATTAAATTACCAAGTCTTATTTATATTCTCCACCAAAAACATTTTCTCACCTTTCCAGTCAAACCTTTCTTGTCCCAAAACGCCGTCATCAAACAGAAATGGTCCACTAACCCAAGGTGATTGCAGAGGAAGAGGGCGCGGCTGTCGGCGATTTCAGTGATGTCATCGCCATGTTCGGTGATGGTTAGTCCGGTATATTGGCCCGCCGAAACCCAATGATCATTCGCGTATTGGCAGACAATGTGCTCAATGCCGTTGAAGATCTGCTTGCTAAATTTTTGATCAGTAAACATCAGAAAATCTTTGAAATTTTTACATCTCCTGGGTCCCACCACGAAAACATGAATTTTCTCAAATCCATTTAAAATCATTTCTAATTTAAATATTACCCCTATATAGCTTCAATAAACTCAAATCCCCCTGTAAACTCCCTTAGCTCGCTTCAAAATTCCCCCTTCAACATCTCGACCTACTACAATATCCAAAAATAAATAAATAATATCCCCAAAATGCATGTTACGCCCTCAAATCCCACTTACTTCAACCCCAACAGCCACACAATTCCCATTATGGGATATAACACCAGGAACAGAGTGCACAGACAGCCAACCGGGACCACAATGACGGTCATGATGAACCAGTAGAAGGCGCCGACAATGGTCATCATTTTGCGCAGATCCATCGTGGAGTTGGACTCCAGCGCCGAGGAAGACTTCTCCATCTTGACGCCCATTCGTCTGAAAGTAGTGGGGCGTTTCAACGCGAAAGAGTTCAAGTTTTAAAATGCAAGGAATTGAAAATTGGACGATTTTGTTGGGGATTTGCATAAATTTGCGACGCTTTAAAAAGATACGGGCGGAAGCTGGACCTAAAGTGCGTCTGAGCTTTTTTAAAACAAACTTGGAAGTCGAAAATCTGATAATGATCCGATTCTGGTTGTTATTTTCGAAAATTTTCGCTGCGGGACCCAGAAATCGCCAAAAAATAAAAAAAAAATTGCAAATTCCTTGAGGCAATGGAGAAAAATTCAGGCCAAACTGATAGATAATGAAGCCATAAGTCCCAAATTTCTTTCCAACAACTTTTTTACCTCCAAAATTTTCGAATTTTTACAAAAAAATCAAAATTTCTCAATTTTTTTCATTTTTACAAAATTCAAATTTCAACCCGATTCAAAATTTCCTGAATTTCAAAGGGATTGAACCCCTTCGAAAAAGACCGCGTCTCTGTCTACACACAGTTCCCAATAAATAACCAAAATCGGGCGTTTTCGCCCATTTCCGATTTGGAAGAGGAACGTTTCGAAGGGCTCAAAGAAACTTTTTTAAGGCCCGTGAATCATAAAACGAACAGCTCAATTTGAAGATTGGAAAGATGAGTCAAATCAACGATGAGAGGAGTGTTTCAATCCCAGCATTGTTAATTATACAGAACCAAAAAATCCAAAAAAGGCAGATTTTTTCAAAAATTTTAATGATTCACAACGCAGAAATCGGCTGACTAATTGTAATTAGTATTTCATTGCATGCCAATGAAGATTTAGCGAACTAAATGAGATTTACTGAGAATTCATGTTTTCGTTTCGGGACCCAACATTATAAAAACTTTTGAAAAAGAACGGCCGATTCCGAACAAATGATTCAATACCTTCCTCTGACTCCAGAAATGTTATAATGACGATATAACATTCCTGGAGTCATAGGAAGGGTGCTAACAACAACATCAAATTTTGTCCCGAAGCGAAAACTTGATTTTTCAAAAATTGAAAATATGGTGATGGACTTGATCTAGTGGCAAAAAACGTACCATTTTGCATCCGGGAAGTATCAAAAAATGTAGAAAAATGTCTCCCTCTCCAACTAAAAAAACTCTTTTGAAGGACGCGCTTTTGAAACCGGAGTTTTTTCCCTTGGAGAGGGAGGTATTTTGCTACATTTTTTGATACTTCCCGGATGCAAAATGGTACGTTTTTCTGTCACTGGATCCGCCACTCGTCTTTCATTCAGTCAATGATGATCTAATAACTCTATTCACAGAAGATTACTGCTCCTAATTTAATGTACGCCCACTAGAAACAATATTACACCCAGATTACACCTAAAACAGAAGTCGATGTTCAAAATCCAAAAAAAATTTAACCTGAATCATAGTACAAAGTCAACACAAGTACGTATATGTTCTTATCAATAATCTTTTCAACGGTTTATGATATAAGTGGAAACCGTAAAAAGGGCGTAATAGAAGTTTTTCACATGTTTGCTCAATTCCCAAAACGTTGCGGAAATTACAAAATTTCTTTGGTTCTTGCCCGAAACACGTCCGTATTTTTGGACAATAAAGATATGTGAAGCATTTGGATGTAAGTTTAGGACCAAAACTTTTTGATTTTTCTCAATAAAACTTAAAAGTTGAAAATTTTTTAACTAAAGTAAGGTAAATTTTGCTGAATTTTAATCAACTTCTAAGCAGATAGCCTCAAGAACCATGCAAAAAGAAGATGAAGGTCTCATGACATCAAGAAAACGCAACATCCACATACCAACCGCAAAATTCAAGGATTGCCAGCTATTTTTATGTTATCTATGCAACCAAGTCGAAAATTGCAAAATTTTAGTAATTTTTTATGTTTTTATGGATGCTACCACTATTTGGCAGACAGTTAAGACCACATACCAGCTTAGACAACTAAATTTGATGGATAAATACCAACAGCCAATGACTGACAGCGCTTTTTATATTACCCTTGCCATCAAAAATCTTAACTTCGAAAATTAAGAAATTAGCGTGAAATTTCGCGCGCAATCACTAGAATTATATCCACAAATCAATCTTGCACCTCTAGAAGTATAAAATCATCAAGAAAAACGCCCAAAGACATCAACTTTCACCTAAAACAATACAAAACAAATAAAAACTCACTTTTCGGCCGCATTTTCGCTCAAACCCAAATTAGGCTCGATAATCATGGCAGGCGGTTTGAAACCGTGGAGTTGGAGGCTTGATTGGGAGCTTGTGCTCTTCGCTCCCTGCGGGGTTTTGTGGCTGGAGACTGAAAGTGGCGCCATTTATTTTGATAACACGAATTCGACGTTTTTATTGAAAAATTAGTCACGGTATCAACAAGAACAGAGTCTATTCTTTAAAACGATCAAAAAGCTTGAAAATTTTATCAAAGAAACTAAATTAATATCAAAACTCAGCTGTCTTCGAAAAAACCGCCCCCAAGAAAATGAGTCTCAAGATTTCCCCAACTATTGACGCCCAACACGTTCTACACATCACACTCCACAATTTTCATAACAAACTGACACTTTGACGAGAGCAAAACGCCCTCGAAAAACTGAACTTCAAGTGAATGTCATGTGTAATATAAAAAAGCCGAGAAAATGCCACAAATTTGTAGTAAACAAGTCGAAAGCTCTTGCAGCTCTTTGCAAATTGTGTAAAACTTGATTTTAGGTCATTTATTACGTGAAATTGGCAAAATTTTTTATTACCTACAGTGATTGCCTAGTGTAATATAATTTTTCACCTAAATTCTCCGAATTTCCGGAAAAAACGAGCTCTTCGAAAAGAATGAACTGAAAGGCGATAAACTTGAGGACTTTCAGTTATATTTTCGTTTCTTTGGCGGCACTTTAGCTGCTTCTCTTCAATCAAACGCGTTCCGGCCGGTCATTCCCACAGGCACTCAGTCGTGAGCTCTCAATTCCCTCTGAAACAACATCAAAATGCAGGGCAAAAGCTGAGGAGAACAGGAGGACAAACGTCAAAACGGCCAAATTTGCCAACATTGTCGGTTGGCAAAATCCCAAGATCATAATGGCGGAATGCCACGATTTTTGGCATTCCAAGTTTGCGTGGTATGACTCAGAAAATAGGAAGATTACTGTAATAAAATTAGGGCAGACTTTTGAAACTGATGTTGTCGGTTGGTAAAACGCTCTTTTACCCGTATTTTTGTCACTTTTAAACATCAAAAATTATTAATGACATCTGTTTTCGAGACTTGATCATGGATAATATAAAAAAAGTCCAAATATTTTTAATTTTTACAAAATTTTTGGGCGCTATGCATCAAATCAGTTCTTCGGATAAATGCAGAGCGTGTTGCAAACTTCGAGAATGTAAAAATATATCAAAAAATTGTTTACTTTCTAGGAACAAGATTAATTTTCCGAAAAAATAACTTTAAGCTGTCGTGCGAAAAAATGATTTTCCAAACGAAGACGGACGTATTACTTATAAATAATTAGTCTCAGAATAGCAGATGCGATTAGCCGGCAACTTGTTTACAGCTTATATAAATGAAAAAAATGCTTTTAGGTAGCTCTGGCAAGTGTAACATAATTATAAAAAGTTGGGGACTTTGTTAGCGAAAAAATATAAAAAAAAACTTTGTTAGGGATGGCTAATATTGCTGTCCATGTCATAAACAGGTACTACCGGCATGTTGCTGGTCTATCTGGGAATTTGGATATACTGCACATGATCACCATGCGTTCGATATCAGAAAATGTCCAAAAAATCAAATGTGCGTTTATTTGACCTTAAAAGCCCTTTCTAATAGTCTCTAAAAACCCCATTCCCCAATTGGACAAAGCTCTGAACTGCTTTTTCGTTTAGAATAATGTGTGGTCAAGTGGAATTAGGACGATTACATAATGGCCAAATAGTCCGATAAAAACCGCTTTCAAATGCCTCATGTAATCGCAAAACACAAAAATCGTCGTTTGCACAAGGTACTCGGCACGCAATTTGGCACACAAGCTTCGACAAAAGGTCTGATGATCATGTGTAATATCGGTCTGTCGAAAAATAGTGAGCGCAATGTCGCTGCATCCCGTCGCTGAAGCGGAAAACAATTTGGTTTTGCCGCGGCACAATTGATTTTCTCGGTAGTGGTACGATTTTCGATGCGACAGATTTCAGCCATACTATCCGTCTGGAAGGTAATGACAACTCTATTGCATCGAAAATCGTATCGCGGCCGAGAAAATGAATTGTGTCGCGGCAAAATCAAATTGCTTTTCGCTTCAGCGATGCAGCGGCATTGCGCTCGTTATTTTCCCGACAGACCGATATTGCACATAATCTTCAGACCTTTTGTCGAAGCTTGTATGCCAAATTGCATGCAGAGCACTTTGTGCAAACGACGATTTTTGTGGTTTGCGATTACATGAGGCATTTGAACGCGATGCAGCGACGTTGCGCTCCTTATTTTCCCGGCAGACTGAAACGCAGATGACGGGCGAAACGTAAGGTAATATAAGAGGAAAAAAGTGGGCTCACGGATGAGTTAAAGGGTCCAGAGTCCGAAAAGTCAGTTTCAGAAGCCCCTTTACTTTCCCAAAAACTGATGGAAACTTCGGGAATGCACTTGGCCCTCCAGGAGTGGGAGGGCGGGGAGAAATTTTTGCGGCCGTTCGCCGCTTTGTCTTTCCGTGTGTTTTTCCGCTCTCTGTTTACGGCTTAACAACCCCCTCAGGCTTATTCGCTTTATACGGTTAGAGCAGATAGGGGCGGAATGGACGGAGGTTTGAGATTCTTGTTTTTCTGACTCTCTCCATAGATACTGAAATTAAAATTCGATTTAGAGTTTTGCAGGATGTAGTTTTTAGAATTCCGTTGCGTTCTAAAATGAGATTAAGGGATGCCGGGATACAAAAACCCATTGAAAATTTTGAAATATGGCCGGATCCAATGCAATCTTATACAAGCAGCTCGAGATACGACAAAATTTATCAATATTTGTGAATTGCCAATTTATTTCATTTGTCATACAGCATATCAAAATTGGTGTAAGACATTTTTGCGACAGATATTACACTGCGGCTTGTTCCAATGCGAACGCGAGCTCGGCCGCTTCTTCAGGCGTCTCCACTTTGACTAGACTGGCTTGAATTATTGGTTCAACTAAACTGGCTTCACTTCCGACATTTACGCTCAAACTTACTGTGTTGGGAGTTGAGCAGCTCTTCAAAAGTCAAGGGAATTTTTGTAGTGGCAACACGCGCAACTGTCGGCGTAGCAACGTCTTCAGGTACGGAGTGATCAAAGTGATCAACACCTTAATGAACTAGGAATTGAAAAAATTTTTGGCATTGGCTTACCACCATCGTCGAGGGGAATGGGCTGACTTAAAAGTCCCGCTACTAGCAAACACAAGAGCGTCAGCGAAAATCTCCGCATTTCCGGAAAGAGTAAAGTAATAACATGTTGTTTGATAGGCCTTATATAGACCCGGCGAGGCTGATGAAATGTATTTTTTTGATAGGCGATTGGCAGTACTTACAATGCAAATCCCAAAGAGCAGCCGGTTTTGTGTTTTTCGCTTAATAGACCTTGTTTTTTGGGGGATGCCCTTAAGATTTCGGTGTTACGACCTTTTGGGTCAATGACAATTCGGTCAACATACTAGGCATGGCTCCGGGCCGGGCTTTGCAAAATTTTCCGGCCCGGGCCGGGCCGACTAATTTCTCGGCCCGACTCCGGGCTTCGATTTTCAGGCCCGGCCCGGCCCGGGCCGGCCCGGTTTTTTTGAAATTTGAGTTTTGCCCGGAAAAAAGGAAAAAATAAGCTTTTACGATAGGATTTTTCATTTTTTTGAACACAATGCTGATAGCGAACGTAAAGTGACCTTATGTACCTAGGTTTTGCTAAATTTTTCTTTACATCTTGCGAAAATTTGCCATAATTTTCTTTTCATTTCCCGCTTTCTTTCTTTCCAAACTAGTATAAAATTTTCCGGGCCGAACCGGGCCGGGCTTTCCAAATTTCCCAAGCCCGGGCCGGGCTTGGAGATTTAAGCCCGGGCCTGCGGCCCGGGCCGGGCCGGGCTGGCCCGGTTTGCAGCCATGCTTACAACATACTATACTTTGGATTGCCTCGATTTGTCGATGTATGGGAGGCTAGGAGACGGCATAGTTAATAGAAATAAAAAAAAATAAAATTGATCAGGTCCCAGGAGAGCCTATCACTTATTTTGAGATATTTTACATGTATTACTGCAATATTACTCAGATAAAACTTACGGATCTTTGTTTTTTGAAGCAAGCTTTGGTTTTTTCGGCGTTACAATAGCTCAAGGCGATGAAAAATTAGGTTTGCAACAGCTAAAATTAAAAAAAGCGGCAATGTCGTATGCCTACGCCAAGTTTCTGCTGAGCCTCCAACGGCCTTACCAGGCCTCATAGACACCTTCTACGACTTTTTTGGGTCTCCGCTAGTCCTACGGCTCGTATCGAAAAAGTCATTATTTAACAAAAGCCCGAAGCTTTCCGATTTCTCTTTATCCCACACTTGCCACATTAAGCCCGCTAATGCCATGTAATCTTTATTGCATGGCAATCAAAACATCCATTATGACTATTATTTAACTCTGCAGATCCTGTTTTCGTATCATATCCGCATAACATCCGTTGGCATTCATCAGTTCCGTATGACTTCCGACCTCCACGACTTTTCCATTGGCGATAAAATAGATCCTGTCCGCATGCTGAATCGACGAGAGTCGATGCGCGATGGTGATGCAGGTTCGGCCGCTGGCCGCCGTGTCCAGCGCCTGCTGCACGGCGCGCTCACTTTCCGCATCCAGTGCGGACGTGGCTTCGTCCAGCAGCAGGATTTTGGGCCGTCGGACCAAAGCTCTGGCAATGGCGACGCGTTGCTTCTGCCCTCCGGACAATTGAGCGCCCTTCTCGCCGACTTCAGTGTCATAGCCTTCGGGGAGGTTTTCGATGAATTTCTTGGCGTTGGCTAGCCGGAATGCCTCCATGACCTCTTCTTTGTCAGCATTTTCGATTCCCAATGTCGCGTTCTCATAGATAGTGCCCGAAAATAGCACCGGCTCTTGTCCCACGAGCGCCATTTGCGAGCGAAGGTAGTGCAGTTGAAAAGTCCTGATCTCGGTGCTGTCTACAGTAATTTCGCCGCTGTTTGGCTCGTAGAATCGTTGTAAAAGATTGATAATTGTGCTTTTCCCACCGCCACTTGGCCCCACCAACGCGATGGTCTCGCCTGCCGAAGCGTTGACACTCAGTCCGTTGGTTACGGTAACCTCGGGGCGGGTTGGATATGAGAAGACGACCTTCTCCGCTGCGATATTCCCCACAACTTTCGGCGATTTTCCATTAGCCTCGTTGGAGTTTATAGCCGGCTCTTCGTAGATTATGGAGAACAGTGAGTTTGAGGATGGAATGGCATGCAGAATCTCGACCAACGGCGTTGAGACGAAGAGAATCGACCAGGTCAGCGTTGACATGGTCGTGCAGGCTCTGAAATTGAATTACCTTGTCGGTTGGGACATCTGAGCTTACAAAAATACATTTGCTATGTTGACGTCCCAATGGTAGATCATCAAAAATCCGACTGTATAACATGCCACATCGTTGATGTAGACGCTAGATTGGGCAACGCAAAAGAGAATAGAGTCGGCTAGGACTATCTGAAATTGGAGTTAAGCGCATCAGCGGTACTAGCAGTTTGTCGGGAAAATGGTGAGTACACTGTTGCGTCGAAAATCATCAGTCTGTCGGAAAAGTAGTGAGCCTTCCAGGTCTTTTATTTTCAACTGCGTGTGGTTGGCGGGCACTCTGAGCTTTCCCTTGTCGCCGTTTGAAGATTGGTTTCCAGATTGGTACAACGAGACCCGTCTATCAGTCTGTCGGGAAAATAATGAGCACTCTGTCGCATTGAAAATAGCGTTACGCCGAGAAAATGAATTTTGTTGCGGCAAAATCAAATGTTTTTTTACTTCAGCGACGCGAAAGTAATGAGCACAATGTTGCTGCGCCAATCGCGTCGCTGAAGTGAAAAGCAATTTGAATTTACCGCGACACAATTCATTTCCTCGGCGACGATACGGTTTTCGATGCGACAGAGTGCTCATTATTTTCCCGATCACTATTAGACGGGTGTCGTTGTACCAATCTTGAAATATTTTTTGTTCCAATTTTGAAACCAACGTGCATAAACCTTGTCGCGAATCTTCAAACGGCGACAAGGGAAAGCTCAGAGTGCCCGCCGACCACACAGTTCAAAATAAATGTTCTAAAAGGCTCACTATTTTCCCGACAAACTGATATACAGTGAGGGACCTGATCCAGTGGCAAAAAACGTATCACTTTGCATCCGGGAAGTATCAGAAATGTGGCAAAATGCTTCCTTCTCTAACTAAATAAAAAAACTCCGTTTTGAACTGCGCGCCCTTCCTCTCACAAAAAGACTGGGCGCGCTTTTGAAATCGGAGTACCTGGAGAGGGAAGCACTTTGCTACATTTTTGATACTTCCCGGATGCAAAATGGTACGTTTTTGGCCAATGGATCAGGTCCGCCACTGTTATGGTAATTCTATTTCCTACCCTTTTCTCTTCCTTTTCCAAGACCTCAAGGCTTCTTCGATACTTCTCCGCGAAATACTCCTCCCTGCCCAGCAACTGTATTGTTCGTGTGTTTTCGACTATCTCCACAGCCAATTTCGGGCTATCATCGAACTTTTGAATCCTTCTCAGCGCTTGCTGAGTGATCCGTCCCATAGCCGCGGAGATGGTTAGCACCACCGCGTACACCGAACTCCCGGCCAAAACAATTTGCCAGGACGTCACCAAAGTCAGGGCGAGTTGAATCACAGTGCACAATGTGTTGTGCACCACATTGTAGAAGCGCCGGTCTAGCGCCGCCTTACAGTTGAGGCTGTCCGAAGTGATGCGTTGGACCAGTTTTGGCGACGAAGTTTGAGGCCGATCAAAGTAGGCGGCGCCTTGCGACAGGATGCTCTTCAAAGCCCGGACTTTCAACTTGATTACGACGTTCTCGCCTCCCCAATTGAGCAGTGATACGCCCAGCGTGATCGTGGTGAACGAGAACACCCCCACGGACAAAGTATAGAAGCCAACTTGTTGCAGACCGGCCGAATACTCCGCCCATTCCGCGTTCTTTTTCCGGAAGATGTTGAAGAGCATGTTCAAAGCGAAAACATAGAGAATCAGCTCGAGACCTCGCAGCATGGTGAAGATTAAGCCGGAAATGAGCTTTGGATACTCTCCTTCACAGTTTTTGGCGAGCGTTAGAAGGCCGTATTGAGGCGATTGGTCGGTGTATTCGAGGTCTGCCGGCGGTGAGGCTGAAAAAAGTCTCTTTGTATGAAGTAAAATATAATCAGTCTGTCGGGAAAATAATGTGGATTTGTCGCAGTAAAATTTCTTGTCTCGCCGCTGTCGCAAACCAAATCTCCAGGTAGCCGTCGCAAAGCGATAATGGACGATTTCAAAGCTCGACGAAACCACATTATTTTCCAGACAGACTAATACGCGCACCGCGAAAAAAAGTTGACGCACTTTGGAAAAAGCGTAGTATCAGTTTGTCGGGAAAATAATGAGCACTCTGTCGCATCAAAAATCGCATCGCCGCTGAGAAAATAAGTTGTGTCGCGGCAAAATCATATTACTTTTTACTTCAGCGACGCGGTAATATGCTCATTATTTTCCCGACAGACTGATACTACGCTTTTTCAAAAGTGCGTCAGCTTTTTGTAGAAGCGAGCTGTCAGGCAAATAATGTGACTATTATGGTATCAGTATGTCGGGAAAATAATGTGGATTTGTCGCAGGAAAATGTCTCGTTTTGTCGCAGTCGCGCACCAAATTTCCCGTCGCGGCTAGCCGTCGCAAAGCGATAATCGGCGATTTCAAGACGACGCTACAAATCCACATTATTTTCCCGACCGACTGATAGTCGGCTCACCTTCTATAACTGATATCTTTGCTGTTTTTCCATTCTTCAAAGACGACTTTCTCCTTGACTCCTGCCTTTCAAAGCTTCTTCTTCTTCCATTGCTCTCAATCTCATCGCAAATTTGAAACTGCTGATGTTTCACCAGCGACGAATACAACCCACCTTCTCTTTCGCTCAACTCCACGTGTGAGCCCACTTCCACCACCCTTCCCTCATCATAAACAATGATTTTCTGCACATCCCGCAGCGTCGACAGCCGATGCGCGATGACGATGGTGGTGCGGCAACGGGACGCGTCTTTCAGCGCCCGCTGCACCTGAATTTCGCTTTCCGCATCCAACGCCGACGTGGCCTCGTCCAGCAGCAGGATCGGTGGGTTGTTGACGATGGCACGGGCGATCGCAATTCGCTGCTTTTGCCCGCCGGAAAGCTGGATTTCCCCACTGCCGATGTTGGTGTTGTAACCATGCCCTAGCTTTTGAATAAAGTCATGAGCGTTCGCCATCCGGCACGCCTTCTCGACCTCGGCTTGGGTGATAGTTTCATCGCCAAGCCGGATGTTTTCGGAGATGCTGCCGTTGAAGAGGACCGGCTCTTGTTGGACGACGCCGATCAGGCGACGGAGCGATGAGATCTTGAGTTTTCGGATGTCCACTCCGTCTATTGCGATTGTGCCGGAAGAAGGGTTGTAGAGGCGGGTTATGAGGGAAATCTGAAGGTTCAAGAGTGATTTAGTTTTCCACTTTTTTTTGCAAGAACATTTTTTTTTGCTTACAAGGGAGGCATCTCAATTTGGACGCTCAGATTTTGTTTAAATTTTGAACAAGCATTGTGCATAAACCAAATATAAATTTCCTGAAATTTTAGCTCGCCCTTTGAAGTAGCAGTTGGGATATTCAACAATCTTTGCCAGCGAGAGAGCACGCTAAATGCGGAGAGCGGTCAGAAGGAAAAACACTTTTTGGCCGTATCTTTGCTAGTTTCGTACGGAAAAAATTGATTTTTTGTTGAAACATTAGTCTTTACAGTAGAAATTAGTACGAAATTTTTCATGCCAAAAACTCGGAAAAGATGCCACATTTTCTCCAACTTTCGGACAAAAGATCTCGATTGTTTCTGCAAAACGCGAGCTGCCGGTCTCGCATATTTCTTATAAAAAACTATTCTAATAAATTTGTGCCAAGTTTCATTAAAATCTGAGCGTCGCACTTGAGAGCACGCGACACATTCTTCCCAGTACTTTTCAAGCAACTGGTTTTCCAAAATAACGAAATGTTTACTTTTCTGAACGCGGAGAATGGAGAGCCGCTCAGAGCCGGAGCCAAGAGCCGGCTCCAAGGCCTTGTCAATCTCTCATCGCTACAACAGTAAAAGACTTACCGACGTGCTTTTTCCACACCCACTATGTCCAACCAGCGCCACCGTCTCCGAAGGCAGTGCTTCCCACGTAACGCCTTTCAAAACTTCTCGTTTTCTCCTGCTTGGATACGAAAATCTCACATTTTCGAATTTGATGTGACCTTCTGGACGTACGATTTCTTCTCCAGTATCATCATAGCTGTCGATTTCCGGGACCTAAAGTCATTCTAATGAGCGAAAAACTCGAAAAATCCCGTACTCTTTCAATTTGCCGAAAAATGACGGCCGCTGAAACGCGGGCCTTGAAGATGGCCATGAAATGCGGGCTAATATAGCCGATAAAATAAATACTAAACAACAGAGTGGTGGTGATGATAAACACATCGCCCGAGGCGATCTCGTCAATGTAGTAGAGATATCCACCATAGACAAGAGCGGTCGCGAAGAATAAATAAAGCACAACGTAGAAGATGCCATCAAATAAGCCCTCCCAAAGACCAATCAAAATCCCATGAATCCGCGCCGAGAGTAAGGAGGCATGGTATTTTTGCGTCATTTGTTGTTGGCCGTTACACGATTGGACGGTCTTTACATTCATGACGGCCTCTTGGAGAATGGTGCCGGATTGGTCGAGAAGTGGAAGCTGCTTGGCGGTGGTCAGACTGATCACCTAGAATTAGATTTTTTTTGGATTTGCTGATACTAGGCTGTTTGTAAAACCGCTGGAGTCGTTTTTGGCGTTTTCACAGTGTAAAAAAGGTGAGGGTGCGAGCGACAGCACTGCAAAAGTTTTTTGAAAATTTTGGCAGAAGAATTTTTATACAGGGGACCAGATTCAGTGGCAAAAAACGTAGCATTTTGCATACGCGAAGTATCAAAAAATGTGGCAAAATACCTCCCTCTCCAAGTGAAAAAACTCCGACTTCAAAAGCGCCTCTTTTTGCGACGAAAAAAGGGCGCGCCCTTCAAAACGAAGTTTTTTCGTTTGGAGAGGGAAGCATTTTGCCACATTTTTGATACTTCCCGGATGCAAAATGGTACGTTTTTTGCCACTGGATCAGGTCCCCCACTATAGCTATTGCTACCGTTGAGGGTAATATTTCAACGAAAAAATCAATTTTTCCCTACTAAATTGGCAAAGCTATGGCCAAAAAAGTGTTTGTCTCAATTTCGCTGTACCAATCTTGTCGCTGAAGTGAAAAGCAATTTGATTGTCACCCCGACACAATTAATTTTCCCGGCGGCGATTTTCGATGCGACAGAGCGCTCATTATTTTCCCGACAGACTTATAAACATCTTCATTCTCACCCTCGCCATGAAAGACATGATCAAGCAGGAAACAGGCGCTGCAGCGACCATTGAGGCGGTGACTCTCCAATCAATACAAACGCATACAATCAACGACACCAAGAGTTGAAAAACACATCGTATTAGGAGTCCGATCTTGTCGCCAATGCCATCGTGGACTCGCGAGATGTTGCTGTAAAATATTTTCCATTCATTTAAGAGTGAAGTACAGCTCTTCTTACTCATTGAGCTGTGTATTCAACGCTCCAAACCGTTGACGATCAAACCAACCAGCGTCTTGCCGCAGGACAGATTTGATAAATTTATTGCGCAAATGCGATGTGATATTTCTGGCTGCTAATTTGAGCGTGTAATTCGAAGTCATGGAAGTAATGAGGACTGTGATTCCTATTCCAATGTTGATCTTGATCATCAACAGACCTCTGCTCCACAACTCGTCTTTGTCAATGCTCTAAATACGTATTATATACATGAAATTAGCAATGAAGCTACCCCTTGATCTCTCTCCAGCAACGCCGTTGTTAATTTCCCGGCCATTATGGAGGGCAGCGCCTGAATGCTGCCAGTGATCACGGCCGTTATCATGCCTATCGCGATTAGCGTTCGATCCGAACGGTCGGCGTATTTGAACTAAAATGTGAAGTTTTTCGAACATTTTGGTTGGCGCAGCGACATTGTGCTCATAATCTTTCCGACAGACTGATATGTACTTGTGGGAAAACTCTTAACTATTTGACCATTTTAATACCTATGTAGGTTTTTATTAGGTTGATTCAAACGTTTTCAGCCATGTCGTTACAAATTTTTTGCCTAATATACACCCTTTTAAAAAGTGGGCTGTTTGCGGATTGTGAGTTTGTCGGGAAAATAATGAGCACTCTGACGCATCACAAATCACATTGCCGCCGAGAAAATGAATTGCGTCGCTGCAAAATCAAATTTATTTTCACTTCAGCGACACGATCGGCCCAGCAAAATTTTTCCCATTATTTTGCCGACAGACTGATATAAGGGTGGTCATATAAGAATTAAAAATTTTGTTTTCCCAAATCGCGATTTTCGGTATACAAAAAAGTCGACGCCCAAATCGAAAAATTGGCGTCGACTTAATTTTTTCAGCACCGAATTCCGAAGTGCGATGCTGACTGCACTGATTTCGAAAAAATTAGAAAAATTCACCGGATTTCAGAATTCGGTGCCGTGAAATTTAAGTCGACGCCAATTTTTCGATTTCGGCGTCGACTTTCTGTGTACCGAATATCGCGATTTGGGAAAACAAAACTTTTTATTCTTATATGACCACCTTTATATGGCTCCACATAACTTTTCAAGCACACTGTATTACCACTTACCAAGTCCAGAAACCCGACTGGTCTGGCTTGAAATCCCTCATTGGACAAATCCCCTCGACACAACAGCTTATTGATCCATTTCTCAAGCCCTTCGGCTTTGTAAATCGTCTCCTCATCGTCGAATTGTTGCGACAAATCTAGCGACTCTTCTTCGGCTCCATTACTTTTCCTTTTTTCCCCATCCACATGGCTCATAGTGCCAAAAACACAGCCGGAAGCAGATCAGGACTCAACGAGGAAGTAAGAAAACTCCGAGAAAGTTTCGCCGCGACTTCAAAATGTGAGCGCCAAAAATAGGAAGTGTCTCAATGCTTATCAATGCGTCTACGCGAAGAAAACAGTGACTTTTATGGGCTGGAAAAACAATTTGATTTTATGAAATGCAACAAACCGGGTGCTGAATGAATTTTTGATTTGGTTTTGGACAGTTTTTTTGACTCTATGGTTGCTCTGGATGTGGGTGGGGTTGATTTTTTTTGCAATTTTAATTTGACTAAAAATAAATAGGTGAGATGTAAGCCGAAGATTTTATTAAATTTTGCAGGGCTAAGGAAGTAAATACAATCCCCCAGTCCAGTTCAGACCCCCATGACCCAGTACAACCACCTCTTCCAATCTGAACTGGTGTGTCGTCAGTATGTTTTTTTGAGGATGCTATCGGAGCTCCAAACAGCGGATCATCGTTGCCTGAAGCACAAGAAAGAATTTGGACGGTAACTGGGGCTTGATCTAAAACGTAGGGGGTTGGATGTACAACGTTGGGAGTTTGATATACTAAATATAATACATTTAGTATTGACCACGACGGCCTGAATTTGAACACCAACATCATATAGGGATACTGGGCTCTAATTTGCATTTTTGTATTATTATAATTTTAATAATACAATTTGAATACTGCAATGTTTCTCTTGCTAGTAAGTTCAATTTGTCAAGCCGTCATTACCCGTTTCAAATTAGGGCGTCGCGACACTTGCGAGCAACCCCTTTGCGGGCAACCAATTTGCGGGCAAATTTTTTGCGAGCAACCACTTTGCGGGCATAATTTGGGGGGCCACATTTGTGGGCAGCTGAAACATTTGCGGGAAGCTGAGACACTTGCGGGCAGCCTGGGACACTTGCGGGCAACCGACACTTGCGGGAAGCCGACATTTGCGGGCAACCGGCACCTGAGGGCACCAAAAGACGAGCTCAGAATTAATTATAAAATCACACGCGAACCACACAAGTCAATTCCATGCAGCACTGCTGATAATTCCAATTGTTTTTTAGCTCACAATCAGCCTCAAACCGTATCTTAAAATATTTCTTTGGCTATTATATTGTGTCACCCCTCCTAAAAAATTATCATATCGTCACGCTTTTTAATTTCAATATTTATAATCTCGTTGAACAAACAAACTAAGGCTAATTTTTCAATTCTCAGCTGTAGACTGAAGATCCTGTTTTCGTATCATATCCGCGTACGCGCCATCGGCATTCATCAATTCGGCGTGAGTGCCGACCTCGGTCACCCTTCCATTCGAGATGAAATATATTTTATCAGCATGCTGAATCGAGGACAGCCGGTGCGCGATGGTGATGCAGGTGCGGCCGCTGGCCGCCGTGTCGAGCGCCTGCTGCACGGCGCGCTCACTTTCCGCATCCAGCGCGGACGTGGCTTCGTCCAGCAGCAGGATTTTGGGCCGTCGGACCAATGCTCTGGCGATGGCGACGCGTTGCTTCTGCCCTCCGGACAATTGCGCGCCTTTCTCGCCGACTTCTGTGTCATAGCCTTCGGGGAGGTTTTCGATGAATTTCTTGGCGTTCGCCAGCTCGAATGCCTCCATTACCCAATGCGGATCGACGTCTTCCATCCCCAGTGTGGCGTTCTCATATATAGTGCCCGAAAATAGCACTGGCTCTTGTCCTACTAACGCCATTTCAGAGCGAAGATAGGACAACTTGAAGCTGTTGATCGCGTTCCCATCCACACTCACATTGCCGGACTTGGGCTCATAAAATCGTTGCAAAAGATTGATAATCGTACTTTTTCCACCGCCACTTGGCCCCACCAACGCTATAGTCTCCCCAGCCAAAGCTTTGACATTCAGCCCGTTGGTAACGGTGATGTCGGGACGGGTGGGATACGAAAAGAAGACCTTCTCCGCTACCACATTCCCCATGACTTTGGGCGTCTCGCCGTACTCCTCGTTCGCGTCCACGCAAAGGTCTTCGCCGAAGATGGAGAAGAGCGAGTTGGTCGCCGGCGCCGCGTGCATCATCTCCACCAGGGAGATGCTGATGAACAGGATCGACCAGGACATGGTGCTCATCGTGTTGCAGGCCCTAGAAAAAGAACTTCTTACTTAAGTTTTTCCCGTCTTACATGAACATCCTGGTGACATCCGCGTCCCAATAATAAATCATCCACAAGGCGCAGGAGTAACAAATGACGTCACTGAGATACATGGCCGATTGGGTGATGCTGAAGGTGACGGAGTCGGCCCATATCACCTAAAATGCGATAACAAGAGGACTATCAGTCCGTCGGGAAAATAATGTGGATTTCTCGGGCCCATCATCGCCTTGCGACGGCTGGAGATTTAGTGTACGAGCGATGAGGCGAGATATTTTGCTACGACAAATCCACATTATTTTCCCGAGAGGCTGAGATCCCGGATGCGTCTCTAAGATTTTCTATTAACTTTTCACACATTTTGGGCATATGCCACATATGCATTCCCAAAAATTTCAGCTCGCGCTTTGCAGCGGCAGCTCAGATATTCAACCACCTTTGCTGTAGAGAGAATACGCAAAGCTCGGAGAGTGGTGAGGCAGTAGAAATAAGTCTAAAATTGTAAGGGGATATCTAAGCTTACGCAAAACTTAAAATAGGCTTAACCCAGTCTGCACCTAGCCAACTTTTCATCGTATAACATATCCTCCGCAGGTTGCGCGCTTCTCATTTTCAAAAGACTTGATTTTTTGGAGGTGGTGGCCGCTCTGCGGAACCTTTACGGAAGCACTGCTCTTTACAATAGAATTAGGCATAATTAATAAGCGTTTCATACCAAAATTCGTGGAAAAACCAATTTTTTCCCACTTTTTTCACCTAAAAATCTCGGTCATTTCTGCAAGGTACTAAGAACCTATATGTCTCTGAAAAAACTATTTTAAATTTGTGTCATGTTTGATCAAAAAGTACTTTGTTTTCATCAAACTCACTTTTTTCTCCTCACTTTCCGGCGCTTCAAGACTTTGGTCATACTTTTCCGCAAAGTATTTCTCTCTAGTCAGCAGCTGGATAGTCTTGGTGTTTTCGATGATCTCCACCGCCAGTTTCGGGCTGTCATCGCGTTTCTGGACCGCGCGGATTCCATCCTGCATCATGCGCGCCATACATCCCAGAACGGCCAAGATGGCGATGTACAGAATGGTCCCCACCACGCCGATATGCCAGGACATGGCGAACGTCACAATGAACTGCATAAATGTACAGAACGCGTTGTTCAGCACGTGGTAGAGGCGGATGTCCATCGCGGCCTTGCAGTTCAGACTGTCGTTGGTGATGCGTTGGACGAGTTTCGGTGGGGAGGTTTGAGGTCGGTCGAAGTAGGCGGCACCTTGCGACAGGATGGTGGACAAAGCGCGGACCTTCAGCTTGATCAGGACATTCTCTCCGGCCCAGTTGAGGAAAGCCAGCTGGAATGGAATGGTATTGGTGTTTTTATAAAGAAGTAATGTAAAAAAGGGGCGACTTTTCGGGTCGACTACAGTTCCGGTTAAAATAAAATTGATCGATATGAGGCGTAGAACAAGTGGAGGCCCCAAAAAGGGTGTAGGGGCTGCCTACGAAGCCTGGCAAAGCCGTTGGATGCTCGGCGGAGACTTGGCAAAGACTTAGAAACCGATTTTTCTAATTTTTGATATTGCTAATTTTAGTTTTCTTCACCCTGAGCTATTGTAACCTATTTATAGAAAAGAACAAAACTTGCAGCCAAAAACGGAGATCCAAAGGTTTTATTTGGATACTATTGGAGTAAAGGATGTATAATAAAAAGCTTAAAATAGGTGATATACTATCTTAGGACTCGATCAATCTCATTATTTCTTTTAACCAAGCTTTCTTCTGGCCTCCTTCATGCATACAACGACCAATCGATACGACCAAAAGTATCATCGACCCTCGTAGCGCCAAAAAAACGATTTCACGGCCCAAAAATCATCTACTTCCTTGAAAATCAACATACACTCCCAAGAATCGCGATCAGCGCATAAAATCCGAGGGCGACGTTGAACCAACCAACCAGCTCCAACCCTACAGCGAACTGCTCCCATGGCACTTCTTTGTTGCGGAATGCATCGAACAATAAAGTAAGCCCAACGACATAAAAGACCAGCTCCATTCCGCGAACACAGCAAAAAATGGCGCCGGTTATGAACTTTACATACTCTCCTTGGCAATTTTTGTAGAGAGTGAGTAGGCCATATCGAGGCTTACGGTCCGTATATTCGGGCTCTTCGGCTGCTATCTCGGCTGAAAATTGGGGGATGAGAATTTGTGGAGATTTTGGATTTTGCCCATTATTTTCCCGACACACTTCACAACTAAACTTACCGCCCAGATCCGGCACACTGACACTATCTCTGGACATCAAGGAGGACCCTCTCAGCGTCTCCTTTCTCTTCATCACCATCGGCTCTTCATTTGTTTGCTCCTTGTCCACACTCTTGAACTGTTGGTGTTTCACCAGCGACGAATACAGGCCGCCCTCCTTTTCGCTCAGCTCCACATGCGAGCCAATCTCCACGACCGCGCCGCTGTCGTACACGATGATTTTCTGCACGTCCCGCAACGTCGACAGCCGATGCGCGATGACGATGGTGGTGCGGCCTTGGGTTGCGTGCTTCAGCGCCTGCTGCACGTGGATTTCGCTCTCCGCATCCAACGCCGACGTGGCCTCGTCCAGCAGCAGGATCGGTGGGTTGTTGACGATGGCGCGGGCGATCGCAATTCGCTGCTTTTGCCCGCCGGAAAGCTGGATTTCCCCACTCCCAATGTTGGTGTTGTAGCCGTGCTCCAGTTTTTGGATAAAGTCGTGAGCATTGGCCATTCGACAAGCCCGCTCGGCCTTGTCCATTGTGATCGAGTCGTCTCCGAGCTTAATGTTTTCGAAGATACTCCCGTTGAAGAGGACGGGCTCTTGTTGGACGATGCCGATGATTTGACGGAGAGTGGTGATCTTGAGGTTCCGAATGTCCACTCCGTCGATGGTGATCTTGCCGGCGGTCACGTCGTAGAGGCGGGTGAGCAGAGAGATCTGGAAGAGATGAGCTTGGCAACTTCAGATGTCAGCAAAATTTTTTTGCAAACGAATTACATATTGTTTACTGTCTGCAAGTTTTATTAGCTCCGCAAATTTTATTGGCTCTTTTTTACGGTAGACGAGCTATGGTCACTGAGAAAATACAGTCCAAAAAACACACTTGATGAATTTTAACTTCCGCTTTAAAGGTATGACTATCTTTTCAAAGCAAAAAAATTTGCCGCTCAAGACGCGAGATCACTTCCATTCGGCCACTCCAACACGCTTTCGATGACTGTGTGACAGCCTAAATCAGTGTGTCGGGAAAATAATGAGCACGATGTTGCAACCAGAGATTTCCACGGTCAAAATTTTTGGCTCCGGCTCTCGGTTCCGTGAAAAATTTAAAAAGTCCTCCGGCTCCGAATCCCGGCTCCTATGCAAAATTTTTTTAAACATTTTTTCAAAAATAAACGTTATTAGTGCCAGAGATCATACAGCCAACGTTTTTGCAGTCAAGTCACATCCTCCGCAGTGTTTTCCAAGCAATTTGGTTTGCCAAAATAACGAAATTTTTACTTTTCTGACCGCTGCACGTCAAACTGAGGAGTCCGGTGACCGGAATAGACTCTTCGCTATCGGTTTTTTACATTTCGTCTTGATTTCCAGAGAAAGAGAGAAAAAAGACACGCAAAAGCGTACTCTCTCGCCCCGAAAATTCCCCATTTCTTCCCCGACAAAACGTTTTTTCGCGTCTTTTTTTGGCAAATTGCCAATCCATTCACCGGACTGTTTTAGCTTATCTCAGTTTGACGTGCGCTGGGAAGCCTAGCTCCGACTTTGGGCTCGGGAGCCGGAGGCGACCCCAAAATTTCCGACTCCGGCTCTGGCTCCCGGCTCGGAGCCGTGGCAATTTCTGGCTGCAACCAATCACGTCGTTGAAGTGAAAGCAATGTAATTTTTTCACGACACGATTCATTTTCTCGACGGCGATGATATTTTTGATGCAACAGAGAGCTCATTATTTTCCCGACAGACTGACAAAATGGCACCGGAAATAAGAAATTTTTTGTTTGGGCCAAAATTGTGACCTATGGCCAATTGGGCTTTTTTCTTGCGTTGTACATGCTCTATTTATGCTCTTCCAAATGTCATAGGTTTTGCGTTCGGAAGCCAAATGATTGCCGATATTTTTCTAATAAAAATTTGTGCCAAATGTTTACAAAATTAAAGGTCGTAGCTCGATCATCAACACCAGTAAAGGAGGACTTACTGATGTGCTTTTACCACACCCACTATGCCCAACCAACGCCACGGTCTCTGAAGGTCGGGCTTCCCAAGTCACGCCCTTCAAAACTTGTCGATCTTTCCTGTTTGGATATGCGAACTTCACATCTTCAAATTTGATATGTCCTTTACAGTTTGGCAGTTCTTCTCCGTAGTCGTTGTAGCAATCGATATCGGGTATCTAGAGAGATAAAATATCACCTTTTTATAATAGTTTTTCCTCTCTTACCCGCTCAATTTGCTGATAAATAATCGCAGCCGAAACTCGGGCCTTGAAAACGGACATGATATGCGGGCTAATAAAGCCCACAAAATACACACTCATCGTCAACATTGTCGTGATGATAAACACATCGCCCGAGGCGATCTCGTCCATGTAATACAGGTATCCGCCGTAAACTAGGCCAATCGCGAAGAACACATAGATCACAACGAAGAACATCCCGTCGAACAGTCCCTGCCAAACCCCAATCAAAATCCCGTGAATGCGAGCGGCGAGCAACGAGTCATGGTATTTTTTGATCATCTCTTGTTGGCCATTACAGGACTGGACCGTCTTTACATTCATGATGGTCTCTTGAAGAATTGCGCCGGACTTGTCCAGAAGCGGAAGCTGCTTGGCAGTGGAACTGCTGATCATCTGAAAAAATCGGTTTTTTGCGACGATTTCTCAAAAGTGCGTGGACTTTTTGTCGCAAAGCTTTTCGCACTGTGCATTTCGCTTTTGCACTGTGTAATTCGAAGATCGCCGCGACGTACAACTCGGGGCAAAAAATCCTGTCACAAGTCTGTTCGTAAAGTTGCTGAGGTGATTTTTACGACATACAATGTGAAAAAGAGAGTCAGAGTGCGAGCAAAACTCGAAAAAGCCGATTGCACGGTGCTGTTGTCTTTTCACCGGGCGTATCGCAAATATCACGCGACTAAGGAATGATAATTTGCACGGTGCGGTTATGGTGTGTCGCTGCGAAAATCGCTGATCTTTAGTGTGCATTTTGACCCAGAAACATCATTCTGCAGGGTGAATTTTGAAGTTTTTGCGCTAACGAAAAATCACCGAACGATTTCGGAGCGATGGTTCGGTGCGACAATTTTTTCTTTTCAACCTAAAGATCTCTGTCGTTTCTGCAAAGCGCGGTTTAGAAGTTTCGTACATGTCTTGTCAGTCTGTCGGGAAAATAATGAGCACAATGTCGCTGCGCCAATCACGTCGCTGAAGTGAAAAGAAATTTGATTTTTCCGCGATACAATATTGCGATGCTATTCTTGTGCTCATTATTTTCCCGACAGGCTGACAATATTTTAATTACTCTCCAAATTTTTTTCGTTTTTTGATAAAACCTGGCCTTACCCTCGCCATTGACGACATGATCAGACAAGACAATGGGGCGGAGACAATCATCGACGCCGTGATTCGCCAATCGATCACAAAACAAACAATCAAAGTGACAATCAACTGGCACATGCATCTGATAAGGAGTCCAACTTTGTCCCCAATTCCATCATGAATCCGAGAAATGTTGCTGCAATTGGCGTTAAACCTAATTGCATTCACTTACTCGTTGAGCTGTGTGTTCAACGCTCCAAACTTTTGCTGATCGAACCATTGCGCATCTTGTCGCAGGATCGATTTTATGAACCGACTTCGCAAATGCGCTGCAATATTTTTCGCCGCCAACTTGAAGCAGTAGTTCGTTATCAGCGAGGTCGCGATGACAATTACTCCAACGCAAATGTTCATTTTTACCATGAAAAAACCGCGGTCCCACATTTCGTCTTTCGTTATTTTCTGAAATGGTTTTTTTTTTGATTTTAAAAAATTTTGTCGCAGGCGAAGAGTCCCGCCTTGCCGAAGAGTCCCACTTTTCTCAAAAAAAACATAAAATTTTTTTCATTTTTTTCAAAATGAAAGGTGACATTTTATATGATGACACAACTTTTTGAGTGAAAAAATGATAGTGACATCTTATACGATGAAAAAATTTCAAATTTTTTTCCATTGTATAACATGTCATTTTCAAGTTTTTTTAAAATTTTTTTGAAAAACGGGCAACCGAAAATTGATTTTTATTTGATTTTAAAAAATTTCGTTGCAGGTGAAGAGGCCCTATTTTTCGAAGAGGCCCGCCTTCCCGAAGAGTCCCATTTTTTTCAAAAAACATGAAAATTTTTTCATTTTTTCAAAATGAAAGGTGGCATTTTATACGATGACACATTTTTTTAAATGAAAAAATGAGTGTGACATGTTATACGATGAAAACATTTCAAATTTTTTTCATCGTATAACATGTCACCCATAATTTTCAAGAATTTTTAAAGTTTTTTTCGAAAAACTGGCAATTAAAAATTCAAAATTTACCCCCTGATCGCTCTCAATCAAAGCTGTCGCCAACTTGCCGGCCATGACGGCAACCAGCGCCTGAACGGCACCAGTAATGATGGATGAAGTGAGACCGATTAGGATTAGAAGTCGATCATGTTCCTCGGCGTATTTGAACTGGAACCAGATTGGAAACAAAATAATTTTGACAAAAAATGATGACTCACCAAGTCCAAGACTCCCACCGGCTTCGCTTGAAACGATTCCTTGGCCAGATCGCCTCTGCACAGCAATGTGTTGACCCATTTCTCGACTCCAGTCTGTCTATAAACACCGTCGTCGACGAAGTCGGTCGACTTCTCGGGCAGTTTCGACTTCCCGTTCTTCTCCCCCATACCCGTTCTGAAAATAAGGGGTGTTGTTGGCGAAGGTTGGTTCATTTTATGCAAGTAAATTGCTAGATAATTTGCTTGTTCAAAAGGTCGGGGAAAAAATAGACGGCTGTTGAGATTTGTTTGTTTTTCGAAATGCGGCCAAAAGTTCATTGCTAGTTATATCCTTTATAGATTCGTTTTCTGGGTCGGTTGTTGTAAAATCAGCGTTTCAGAAGTGCATTTTTTTCTCAAGCATCGGGTAGAAAAATTGCAAAAATTTTATGCAAAATATTTCCTTAGAAATTATCCTCAGGGCCGTATGTACCATATAAATCCCTGAATTGTGCATCATTAGAATCAACAACGTATTAAAATGAATTTTGAAATTATCATAGATTGACCCCAAGAAGTGATCCATTCGCATTGATTTTTCACTTTTTTGGAGATAGTAGTCAATCTACGCGACTTTTTTTTTATTTTTTCCACAACAAAAAATCATTTTTTTTCGCCCGGAACTGGCAAAGATTGGCCAAAAAAAATTGTTTTTTGTTTTTTCTCTGACCGCCCTCCGCGTTTTGTGTGCCCTCTCGGCTGCAAAGATCGTTGAATATCTCGACTGGGCCTGCAAACCTTGAGCTAAAACTTTCAGGAATTGATATGTGGCATATACCCGAAATATGTGCAAAATTTAAGGGAAATCTGAGCGTGGCACTTGGGGCACTTCCCTAGTAAAATTGGACCTATTTTTTGCAAAAACGAAAGATAACACGTTGGCTATCAGTCTGTCTGGAAAGTAATGAGCACAATGCCGCTGCTCCGATCGCATCGCTGAAGTGAAAAGCAATTTGGTTTTGCCACGACGCAATTCATTTTCTCGGCAATTCTGGTTGCGACATTGCGCTCATTATTTTTCCGACAGACTTATAAACATCTTCATTTCCAACCAAAATTCCAGCCAAAAACCCCAACCAAATCCATCCTCGAAACTTGGAATAAGCTCAAAAAATCAAGGGCCGGTTAAAATTTGAGCCACTATGCGTATATGTATTACAAAACCAGTAAAAACCAGACGTGATGCGGCGAAAATTTTTATGCTTACTTCGCGTTTCGATCGCGACTTGTGAATTCAGTCCCTGAAACTGATTATGCAAATCGCCGCTTTGTTTTACACATCTGGTCTGTGCAGAAAGTTCAGGTCCCCTTTTTTCGATTTCGCTGAAAATCACAAGGCTAGGAGGTCAACAAATGAGAGGTTCAGCGGATACGTTGGCATAGTGTAGCAGATTTTTTTCGCGTTTGCATTTTTCAACATTTTTATATTAGTGCTTTCATAAAGTGCATGGAAATTTGTTCTCTTTCGCACAGTGCATTTTTGAACTTTTTCCCACGCTTGTCGCCAATGCACAGTGCATTTTTGAACTTTTTCTCACGCTTGTCGCTAACGCACAGTGCATTTTTGAACTTTTTCTCACGCTTGTCGCCAATGCACAGTGCATTTTTGAACTTTTTCTCACGCTTGTCGCTAACGCACAGTGCATTTTTGAACTTTTTCCCACGCTTGTCGCCAATGCACAGTGCATTTTTGAACTTTTTCTCACGCTTGTCGCTAACGCACAGTGCATTTTTGAACTTTTTCCCACGCTTGTCGCCAATGCACAGTGCATTTTTGAACTTTTTCCCACGCTTGTCGCCAATGCACAGTGCATTTTTCTCTTTTCGCACAGTGCAAAAGCGACGTCATTGAAATTTGTCGCAGCGACTTTTCGACGCACAGTGCGAAAACCAAAGAAGAGACAAAATGCACGGTGCATTTCATTTTTTTTGATTTTCGCACTGTGCATTTGAAATATCGCCGCGACGTGAGCTTTTTCCAACTGCCTCTCCTCGGTTTTGCTGAAGAATTTGCACGGTGCAAACGGCTTTTTTGGTTTGCACTGTGCAAAAGGAAGCAAATGCACTGTGCGTTGGCGACAAGCGTAGGAAAAAAGTTTGCACTGTGCGAAAGACAACAAATTTATTGCTTGTCAATTGCCGTCGTAGACCAACAGCTCGCGCTTTGCAGAAACAACCAAGATTTTTTGATCGAAAGTTGGCCAAAAATGACGGGTTTTCAAGAAAAATTTACTGCCTACTTCTCAGAGATTGATGTTTCCACAAAAAAATAAATTTTTTCCGCATGAAACTGGCAAAGATACGGCTAAAAATCTTTTTCTCTCTGCACTCTCCGCATTTCGCGCTCTCTCTCGGCGGCAAAGATCGTTGAATATCTCAGAAGTGCCTGCAAAGCGTGAGCCAAAATTTTCAGGAGTTGATATTTGGCCCATGTCCTAACTGTGCGACAAAATTCAAAGAAAATCCGAGCGTCACTCCTGGCTTCCCTTTGTAGATAATCACCACCTCTTATTACTCAGTATTCTTTGCTCTATCGGCTTTTCTCGTCAATAAAAATCCAACAAAAACACCGCAATCCGATAAGTTCTTTGTGTTTATGTAATACAACAGTATATCTGTGACAATGAGCAAGATTAATGGGGGGATTTACAATTTCATGGGCGAAGAAAATGCAGTCAAAAGGAAACGCGTTCTACTCAACAATATATAGAAAAAGGGGGGAAATTATCATAGAAATCTTACAGGCTCACACTCAATTGTGGTCGACAAAGGGAAGACGCAAAAGTTCCGCTGAGATCATGGGATGAACGGATAATTATTACGAGAATTCAATTGAGTCTGATTACAGGGGTCTAACAACAAAGTTGCTTATTACGGGAGACAATATAAGATGCTTAGCAATTATTATCGATTATAACGGACGAGATTGGGGCCGAGAAAGCTCCGAGTCAAGAAAATTAATAAAGAAAAAGATTTAGAATTAGCATTTAACGTTGAAGAATATGTCAGAGTGTCGTATTTCAGGCAGTACTGAGCAAAAAGCGGCCCAAAATTTGTAAAAAATCAATTTTTGAAGCCAAACATGTCTAGTGTAATATAATTTTTTTTTTCAATTTCCAAAAAAAATCTCAAAAATTTTGCTCTACACTTCTCCTGGCGACACCTTGACACACTTCCAAGAAAAACCTATACAAAAAATGCATATTACCAGCTCAAAAAATCTGTCTACAGCGACTCATTGGCCGAGTTTTCGGTGGTGCTGGGGGACGAGACCGACTTGTTCAGGTCAAAGTTCATGTGCTGGTTGGCCATTCGTTGCATGTGGAGGCCGTACTGGACGAGGACGCGCTGCAGTTCGGGGCTGATGGCCGGATTCAGCGGCTCCGGCGAGGTGTTGGCCGAGGTGGGCGGTGGGGAGACCAGGCCCGGCGCCAGGCCCGCCAACAGCGGGTTGTGGAGGGCGGCCAGCGTCAGAAGCTGCTGATACTTCTCGTTCTCGAGAAGCTGGTTCTGGATGAGGGTCTGCTGGAGTTGGTGGGCGTGGAGTTGTTGCTGGAGGGCGGCGGCGACCGCCGGATTGATCAGCGCCGAGCTGGTGGGGATGGAGTTGGCGACATTCTGGGCGCCGCAGAAGGCCGGTTGGAATGGATTCAGGCCTGAAAATGTTCGAAATAAGTCCTTTAAATCTTGATTTAGCCATTTTAAAAAATTTTCTCGATTTTTGATTTTTTAAAGATTACTGTAATTTTCGCGTTGAGACCCAAAATTAAAAGGTCCAAACTTGGATTTGATAGACTAATTCGTCTAATTTTGCTAAACAGAACTTTTACAAGCCTCCACTGAAGTTGAAGGTGGTATCAGTTTGTCGGGAAAATAATGAGCGCAATGTCTCTGCGGCAGAGTGCTCATTACTTTCCCGACAAACTGATAACACCCTCAACTTGGAGTGCCTTGTACAACGTTCTTTTAGCAAAATTAGACGAATTACTCTAACAAATCCAACTTTAAACCTTTTACTTCCAAAACCTGCCCTTTGAACGAGCTGTTTACCCATTTTTCTGAACTTTGATGCCTCGTTTGCTTTTGTAAACTGATTGTTTTTGTTGTTCAAGCATCCAAAAATGAACCGTTGATGAAACAGTATGAAACAAGGTCCGATAAATAATTTCTTCGAACGTTCCGGAAGGGGCCGATGTTCGCTTATCAAGGTTGTGTCTAATCATAGATTAATCGAATTCTATTGTTTCGGGGCATTGTTTCATTGTGACCACGCAGCTCCCCATAAAAGTCGTTCGTCTGATAAGCGAGCCGTTGTATTTTGTAATCGAGATGGGTTTATGTCCGCTTGTGATCTTTTTGATACTTTGAAGGCGCTTTCTTGATCCCGAATTGAAAAAAATCTAGTACAATATCGAAAAAATTTTAGTGCCTAATTCTGGGCACTCCCTCGAATTTTTTGCACTTTCTTTTATTAGGCTACAAACACAACACAGGCTAAGGATCTTTTCAAAAAATTAATTTCTTAAACTCTAAAGTTAAGGTTTGGCTTTCCGGCAACGTCATGTGTAATACAGATTGAAAAAACTTCGTAAAAACAAAAATTCCTTGCTTGATAAGCCTAATCCTCATCAACGATCATCAATTCTCAATCAAACTGAACAAAATTATATTACACTTGACCTATGCCTCTTCAAAGTCAAATATTTGATCTTTAACACCAAGTCGAAACCATTCAGAGATCTAGTTCACATTTCTACCGTGTGCGGGACAAAGTTCACTTCTTTATCTTTGATTTTGGCGCCCGATCACGCCGCTTTCCCATTGAATTCGCCCATTTCGCGGGGTTCCCATTCTTTTCGGGCCAAAAACAAATAAAAATTTCGCTGTTTGGTGACAAAACTTCTGAGACGGTACACTTCCTTTTCCAGGGGGTGCCTTGGAAGACCGAAAAAGGCGCGGGTTGGAAACGCTTTTGTCCGCGCTGGCCTTTTCTTTCTTCTTCGCCACCAGTTTTTCATTCTTCCATTGTCTCCGGGTGTTTTCTTCGGCGCCTCACAAAAAACCGCGACGAGCAGAAAGGTGCAAAAGAAAAGAAAATTCGAAAAATTTGCCGAAAACCCCGGCCAATATCCCGGAACACAAAACGGGAACTTCCCGAAACGAAAAATGGAAGCAAATTGTTTTGAATTATTCGTCCTAGGAACAAAAACAATGGGAGCGATTCCGCGTTTTGCAAGCCGCTAAAGACCGACAGGCAAAGGAACAACCGAGGAGAGGAAGAGTAATGAGCGCACGGTCCCACTTTTTATGGGCCTGCATGGCGTTTGGGTTTTTGGTCTTGGCGCGAAAATTTGGAATGACGTTTTTTCGAATCCAAACATTCGAAAAAACACAAAAAAAATCTTGTCGCTCCGCGGCAGAACGTCCTTGGAATTTCCCGCGACTCCGCACTGTGCATTTTGCGCGATAATTCGAAAAAAAACATTTTGCACTGTGCATCCAACCAAAAAGTGCATTTGCACAGTGCAATTTTGTTTTTGCCTTACGTCGCGAGCGACTCCCTTTTTCGCAGCGACAAATCAACTTTTCGGAGCGCAAATCTGAAATGTTTTTTTTTTCTGCGACGGAAATTGGGGACCGCGAAAAATTCCGAGGACCTTTTGTCGCGAATTTTCTGCGATTCTGCACTGTGCATTTTGCGCGATAATTCGAAAAAACATTTTGCACCGTGCATCCGATCCAAAAAGTGAGCTTGCACAGTGCAATTTTTGCCTCCACAACTCTTTCCCAGAAGCCCCAATTCTCAAAAAAAATTCCCAATTTTCCCATAAAAATCATCAAAACCGCTGCCACACCCTCAAAAGCCTACCATTAAATCCGTTGGCGAAGCTCTGTTGAATCGACTGGACATTCATTTTGTTGGCGGCATGCACATTGGCACTCATGGCGGGCTGTCCGGCGCTGATCGAGGGGCGGAATCCTTTGGGTTTTCGGCGTGGTCGGTACTTGTAGTCGGGGTGTTCGCGCATGTGGACGGCGCGGAGGCGTTTGGCTTCGTCGATGAAGGGCCGCTTCTCCAGCTCGCTGAGCTCCTTCCACTCCTGGCCGAGGCGTTTCGAGATCTCCGAGTTGTGCATTTTCGGGTTCTCGCACGCCATCTTCTTGCGCTGACCGCGCGACCACACCATGAACGCGTTCATGGGGCGCTTCACGTGGTCCGAGCCGGCCGATTCATCGGTGGAGCGGCTGGTTGTGGAGGGCTCGAGGTCGTCGTCCGAGTTGTCCACACTCGGCGGCGTGGAGGTGGACGAGCAGGCGACGTTGGCGCGCCCGAACCCGCTCTGGTACAGGTCGGATGGCTTCATTTGGGCGGCAAGCAATAGGTCCGTCATTCTCGTTGCAGGGTTGGCTGTTCCACTCGTTGAGCACTGATTCAGAGGGGGATTCTTCGTGTCTGGAATGGAAGATTTTGATTAAACCACATCTTATAATACAAGATTACGGTAGGAAAACGCGCAAAATCAAGGATAATTCGACAAGAAATACTGAAAAAATTTAAAATTCAACAAAAAAGAATGAATTTTAAGAATAACATGGTAAAACCACGGAATTCCGGACGAAACGGGCGGCACTTCGGCTTATATTGAAGATAGTGATATCATACAAGACAATGGAGCCGCTGAATCAAAAACATTTTCAGATTAAACGTCTCATTGTCTTGTATCTTATCATTATCTTCTCGTCAAACAACCGCAAAAAAAAACAAAAATCTTGGCGCTTGCACCTGATCTCGACTCTCCCCAAAACGGCCGTCTTCCGGCCCGACCAAATTAAAACCAAATTGAATAATAATAATCGGGAGCACTGACAAATTTTTTGTTAAATCAAATTCATCAGGGTGAATCAACGCGGCCGCGCCGCAAAAAAGGTCAGAACACGCCATTCCCGATTGGCCTCGAGGCGTTGTGCGAGACGCGGGGCGGTTATAAAAATGGAGTTACCAAAATAAACATTGTAATACCGTTAATGGGGGAATGACAATGGGAAATTTCCGGAGTTTGTTTCCATTTTTTGTAAGTCGTTTGCAAAGCAAATATTGAGGCCGTGCGGTGTGCGATTGACACATTCTTACGAGCCCCCATGATTTTGCATGTTTTCGTGGCGCGACCAACCCGGGTCCCACGGCGAAAACGTTCAAAGGCAGGAAAAAGTCAAGAAGGGAAGCAAAATTCAATAAGGCGGTGGAATGTGATCTCTATGACTAAAGAACCACTTATTCAATCAACCGAAAAAAGCTGTTATTTTGTTTTGCGAGAAGAAACATTTATGACAGCAAGCTGTCAGAATCACCGGATAAATTGGACAAGAAGTATCACACAATGCGCTGCCCATTGGTCTATTATGCTATACGTTTTTCGAGGAAGTGCTCAGGAATAGAGCCGTCTCAATTCCGTGCAAAAATCTTCGTCATAAAAATTTTTTTTAGCAGAGAACGGAAATCTAGATAAAAAATTGTTTTCCTTAAAGAAAAATCTCGTATTTTAGAGAGAAAAAATAATTCAGAACAGCCTCTGATATTTAGGAAATCTACCTATTTTCATGACAAACCATCCTTCCGGCAATATCCCGCCATATTCGGCGAAAAATTTTTCTAACCACAAATCACATTGTACGTCACAAAAATTGTCATTCCATTGAGAACCCTTCCCAATAATGAACTTCATACCTCTTCAAACAACAGTTCCTTCCGAATACCGACTTGACAAACAGTGTCTACGCTCGGGTTCCGATCGAAAAACTAGCGAGTTCTTTCATCACCGGAGAGAAAACAATAATAGTATAATTACTGACGAACTTGTGATTCAACACTGATAAAACACAAAAAATAAACACATTCGCCCATTATTATTTCCGTCCCCCCTCTCGTTTCCATCCTTTTTGTTCTAACAGCTCGCCTTCATCATTGATATGATAATTTTGCAAACAATAAAAACTAATAACACTATCGTAATTCGAATGTTTTGGGGGAGTTGATGGACCAGAGGACAATGCTTCTTGTTCAAATATCGATTAAAAATAAGAGGTACGAGGTGATGAGTGATCTACGGTAGATTAGCCAATCTGACGTCAAGTGTAATATAAAAGATGTCTCGTAGACCTATATATCATGGGGAATTCGATTCAATCAGCTGTAACTTAGTCCAATTATATCTTGGAAGGAGTGCTAATCAAATATTACCCATCTTACATCCCTTTACACATTTTTTTCGATCAAATTATTCTTTTAGGCAAAACAGTCTAAAAAGTCTAAAAATGAGAGCAAAACTAGACAAAATCTTTTCCATCCACTCGTCCAATTCCCCTTCTAATACTACAAACCACTTCCTGCATCAACGAAAACGCCCTAATGCCGAATACAAAGGGAGGATAAAGCAGATACCATTGTTCGAACAAAAGAATGACTGACGGTGCTAGATACCTCAAGTTCGCGTTTCCACTTTACTAATTGAGTTTCAAAGCGGGCTACGGTACGGATTTGCAATGATTATCCCATCTGATTTCCCAAGAAGGAAACGGTACGGATTATTTTCCCGAATCCCATCCGTCCCGCCTAGTACAATATAAATAATATCGAAATTATTGAATAAAACCGCCTCTATTAGCGCCCATATACGGTAGAGCGACCCGCAATGACTTTGCTCACTGATCGGTGCGTCGATTAAAGGCCCACCGACAACCGAGCACAATATTATAAGAGCGCCACTAAAGCGCGTTAAACTCGAACTAGTTAAAAAAGAAATTTACAAAACTACCAATAAAAATATTATTCCTAACCTCTTTGACATTAAAAGTACTTTAAAAAAGCGTAATTCAAGTTCGCAAAAAACGAGTTTCGCAGTCGAGGAATTACAAAAAAAGAAAAAAAAAACGTCTCCACCCCTGCTCTCCAACGACGCCTTTAAAACAGAGGGAACCATTAAAAAAAGGAGTTATAATACTGCAAGGCCAATCGGCGTGCCACGCCCCGCGGCCACTCGCATTCAGAACGGCCGTATTTTCGCCTCCTTTTCGGCAGGCTCCGCCCCCAAAATTTTCTTTGCATTTGGAGGGAGAAAATTACAAATTCTCTCGGTGGCGGGTTTTTATTTTACAAAACAAAACAAGTGTTGTTGACGAACAAAGCGGGCGGAGCGCCGCAATTGTTACAATCGCAAGTGTTGGGAAATTCGGGTCAATAACTCGAATTGTAAACGCCGCGAAAAGAGGTACCGTAATAATACGAAGAGCAGGTAATTGGAAGCGATTCTTCGCGGAATTACGTGCAAATTATTACAAATAAACGAAGACGGGTGATAGCTGGATGGCTATTTTAGTGGATGGAACAAAATTAAGCTATTTGACAGTGAAAAATAGCATAATTGTGCAAAAAATCTTCAAATGCACCTAGAACAAGATGATTTTGAAAATGAAACTGATTTTTTTGACTTACTGAACTTAAAATGTGGTCTAAAAGGAAGTATAGGTCCTAATTATCATAATGAATATCAGAAGACCTTCAAATTCAACCAACAACCACTAAATTCTATCAATTCCCCTGAATACCACCAAACCCGACAAAATTACCCCAAGAGCAATTAGAAATCGCCCCGAAACACCGTTGAAACGCCATTTTAACCCAATGAACTCGTGATCCATCACAATAAGACACGCGGTTCACGCAATCACCCCAGGAAATTCCACTTCAAACATAAGTTTACCTAAAACAACATCGAGAGCTGACCGAAATATGACTCAACAGACGTTCGATTCACAGATTGCAATCGCGAATTCCGGGAAGACGCGAACTTTACACCACGAACTAGGCTGAAAAAAGCGGGAATTCAGGTCGAAAAACAAGGTAAAAAATCAAGAAATTGCCTAAAACAATATCGTAAAAAATTGGTCGGAAATGAATAAAACTCGCGCTGAAATTGGTCGTATTGCAAAATGCAGTCCCTGTAGTCGCTTTACAATGCATTCTTCTATACGATCAACTGGAATTTTCGATGTAACAAACCTTCCAAAAATGGACCTAAAACAAGGTCGGAAATCAGGGGAAAAGTGAATTTTCGGCAATCTACTGGCAATTTTACCTCGGTAAAATACTAGAATATGATGTATCAGACCGGTTTACCCTATTCATTGAGGAGAACTTTGGAAACCCTTCGAAAAGAACACCGAAAACGGACGAAATTGGAAAAAACAAGACAAGAATTGCATAAAACAAGGACGGAAGCGGGGTTTGCACAATGTTTTCGAAGCAACTGGCTGCAAACAAACGCCCCGATGCCGTCCAACACTTCGGGCAACCATTTCAGCCGCCCTTTTCGCCGAGGCCGACAAAAACAATCAAGGAAAAGGGGGCGGAGCGAGGCGCGGGGTTTTTGTTTCAAATCGCGCGCCAAAAACACTTGTTCCGCAGCGCCATTGATCCTGAAAGTGGGCGTGGCTTGCAAGGAGATGTCGACTTGAGGTCAACGGGAAGTGCAACTAGGCATGACGTCATAATGGAAGCTGAAAATGACAGGAAATTAAAGGGGATAAACACCGGTAATTAGGACGGAAATTCTTTGTTGGATCAGCGGAAATAAGTGATCTGTTATGGTATTGGAATAGCCTGAAGTTATATACGGGAGCTGTAGGCTTTATGCAATGCAAAAAACAGACTTATGTTTGGATCAAAAGGCATGGCCATGGTCATTAAAATATTTTAGTCATCAAGTGTAAGGTAAGGTGAAAATATAACCTTATTGATGGAATCGGTGCCTAAAATTGAATTTGGAATAAACAATAGGACCTAAAATGATGCTCATTCTACTTTGTGTCTTCTGTATTCAAAATTATTTGCAGAGAATTTCAAAAAATTGCAAAAAAACCGATCAAAAATCAAATAAATATGAAAAAATATCGTAGTTTTCCAATTTTGATCAAAATTTTGCGTCTGATCAGCCTATCACAACATTTATCGCATTTTTCAACCCAAAATCTGAGCGGCCCAATTTTTTTCAACGAATAGTATCCCCAAATGCTAAAGGAGTTTAGTGCATAGGTGAAAATAGACATGCGAGTTGGCGTGACCGGGTTTACAATCGTTTTAGTAATGAAAACCAAGTGCCGTTGGGTTATAGTAGCCGTGTTACATGTTTAGGCACGTGATTCTTGGAATAAAAGTCTTAAAAAATCCGTTAAAAGGGCAGATTACGGTAGATTGACTACATGTCCACGGGTTGCTCACCAAATGTATATACCGTAAATTCTTTAAAACCTCAACTTTAGCGTAGCTAAACGAGGATATTAGAGGCTCATTTAAGTCGGTGATAGTTGATTATGGACGAAAATGAGGCCAAAAATC